GAGAGCAATGTAGTGTCTTCTTGTAATAAATGGCCGTGCCGCCGCCTCGGCGGTCGTGCCTATCATTACGAAGAAGAGAATAATTTTTAATGGATAAGCCTTTATTGTCTGTGTGTTTAAGATTGGTTTCCTGTAAGAGGAGAAAATCAGCTTCGCGATCTTTAAGGAAGAGCTTAAGCTCTGGGAGATTATTACGCAATCCGCGAATATTAAATGAAATAAGCGATAGCCCTTTGGGCTTGATACGACCGTGACTTCTAGGCAGAGCAGAAGGCTCTGTCATTATAAGCTAAGTTAATTAAGTTAACTTAGCTTACAACGAACGCAATAAATTACTGTGTTCTGCGAGAGCCAAAAGCCGGTCCTGAGGGGACCGGGCGCCGCGCAGTTTACACGCTAAAACCGAGATTTCGTTAATGTCGATGTTCCTTATCGCGGCGTAAACCGTGTTAAAGTCATCGCCAATTGTCGACTGTTTTTGCTGCGGAGCAGAAAATACCTGTGGCGGTGGATCTACCTTTTTGGGGCCCCAGGCAAAAACTGGAGCCTGCATAGGCTTTGAGAAGCCCGGTGGTGGCCTAAGCGGTGCCTGCGGTGGCCTAAGCGGTGGTCTCAGGGGACCCTGAGGGGGTCGTGCAAAGCCCTGAGACGGCTGAGATGCGCCCTGACGGGGCTTCCTAACATATAAGGCCGGGAATGAACGGTCATTTACCGGCGGTGGTGCCTGTCTTGCTATGCGCGGACGAGGAGCGCACGGGCATCCTCTGTAGCTCGCCGGGTGGCCTGTCTGTTGACACAGGACGCACGCGGGCGGGGATACGGCATCTTTAGGCCGGGGACACTCTTTGGTGATGTGTGGATCTAGGCACTTAACGCACCTGGGTGGGGCGGAGCAATTGGCCGCCGCGTGACCATATAGTTGGCAGCGGTGGCACTGCGCCGGGAAACCGCGCCTATGCGGTGACTCAACCCTAACTCCCGACAAGCCGCACACCGTGCGTACTTGCCGGAAGATGGTTTGCGCCTCCGGAACGTTGGTTAGGATGGCTAAGACTATCGGGTATCTCAGCCCGGTCCTACTGTGCATTTTATGAACAGCTTCGACGGGGAATCCTTGTGACTTAAGGTCATCAAGAATCTCCTCGTTGGAGAGTTCGAACGGGACGCCTCGGATGACGGCCTTGACTTTACGCTCTTCCGGAAGAGCGTATGTATGGTACGATACTCGTTCGTTAGTAAAAAGCCTAGTGAGTCGGCGAAAATCGTCAATAGATTGGGGAACTATTTTTATCGCTACGCCCATGTTCGTAGCTATGTCATATTTAATTCCAGAGTCGTAGCATACCTTGCTCAGTCTAGTGAACTCGGCCTTGTCTCTCAAAAAGACAGGGGGCGGAACTGGTTTTTTCGCGAGTTGCGGAGCGCAACGTGAAGCCGGCTTCGACGGCGCTGCAATATCTAAGGGGGTCGAGGCAGCGGCGGGGGCTGCGGAGGTAGACGCGGCAGCGGCGGGGGCTGCGGGGGTGGGGGGAGCGGCACGGGCCGCTTCGGCGGGGGGCGAACGGTTTTTCGCGGCGCGCTTCGCTGCGCGCTTAGACGACACCGTGGTGTACGACGATGTATTGGAGTCACCGGTATCATCGGAGTCAGAGGACTCCGATGTCCTGGTGCCGGACTGTTTGGCAGGCCTCTTCCGGGAGGCAGATGTTGATGACGCGGAATCGGAGTGAGAGCACTCCATGTCGATTTCGAGCGGCGCGAACGAATTACGTGACGCGAGGTAGTCCGCTATAACGGACGGCGGTGCCTGAAGGGCGGGAGGAGCCAGAAGGGCTGTGATGGCTGCTGTAAGAGCTTGCGGGTCATTATGAAACCTATGGGCTATATCGATCAGGGGACCTAATAAATTCTGCAAGGACATTGTCGTTGGGGACTAACTAACAACTAACAAACTAAAAATAAACTAAAAAACTATTAGAACTATCGTATGACGTGGGGGATCACCGTTCTCAAAAGAACGGGACGCTCTTATTCCAAGAAACAGACCCCTGTTCTCAAAAGAACAGGGACTTGCTCTGAAAAGAGCAAGTAACGTTTTACAAGAAACAGATACACGGAATATAATAAACAGATATGTAATAAAATATACTAATAAACTTATACACTAGTATCTAGTGTTCTACAATATAAACAAGCGGTCAGCCAACCTCCCCGACCGAGGGCGGGGGGGTGAGAACTGAAAGTTAGCAGGAAAACACTTACCGGACTTCAGCGCTAGGCGCCCACTATCTGAAAAGCGCGAGGCGCGGAGCGGGGGGGCACTAGCGTTGGGACGCTAGGCACGCGAACTACCTGTACACAACCGCTCGGGGGCGGTGCAACAGGCGGAATGTCCTAACGGCGGCAGCTCCGTCCGTTTTATACAAGCTAAACGGGCGCCACCGCAGGTGCAATGGTGCACGTGCCGTCACGGCCATACTGACATGCGTGCGTCCTCGCACGCGCTCCATCACAATCTTAGTTATCTGTAGACAAAACAGCGTCTGGTCCGGTCTATGTTGACCCTTCAGACTCTGGTGACAGTCAGTTTTGTTCCGGCAGTAAGCCCCACAAAACTTTAATCATCTTTATATTAGATCGGAATGATTAGTCTGTAGCTTTTTCTATTTTCTCTTTTTTTTTCAAGTACTGTTTTCGCTAGTCCGGAATCACTATTCCCTATAGCTATATCACTGGACCGGCACAAAGCCCTGCAATGATAGTAAGAACTATTCTTTTTTCTTAACCTTTTTTTTCAGTACTATTTATGCTAGTCCGGAATCACTATTCCCTGTAGCTATATCATTGGACCGGCAAACACCCTGCAATGATAGTAAGAACCACATTTTTTTTCTTACTCACTTTTTTTTCAATTCAGTATGGAACAGTTACAGACCAACCATACTGCAAACATGTCCCCGTCACAATCACACAAAAGTGTATATCTATGTATCGTGAGGGACGTAGTGACACGACAACACCTAAGTATGTAAACCAACAGCAACACGACACATATCCCAGTGCAGCACAGACCAGCCTCCCTGCAACTTCATGTTCCTTTCCTGCACTAGAATAATTACTTCGCTAGAGTGTTGCAACGTCTCTAGTATTTTCTAGATGCACAGACACGGCTACCTCTGACTGTCGCACGTCCTCGTGCGGTTGACAGTAAACAGCATACGGTCTATCAGTTATATTACAGCGGTCGATCATCCCAGACTTCATTTAAGTCTGGAACGCGCCAATATGGCTACCTCCAGGCAAACGCACTACAGCTTTTCGTTCTGCTGCGTTCGTGCCACATTCGCGCCAGCAAGCCGTCGCACCGTACTAGCGCTAGCGAATCGTCGCACTGTTTTGCAAAATTAAAAGAAATCGAGATAAATGTATTGCGAACCATGGAATTCCGAGCTTCCAAAATTCATCACATATTCTCATAAGAAACGGCAACTGTATGACATTTGAAAACATTGCAAAAAAATGGAAACTATGTGTAGAGACATACCACAACATATTTCGAAGCGAAGGAGGCAACTGCGCAAAATCTACGAAAGCCGTCCATTTACAGCGCCAAAGCACCATTTGTTCGGCGGCCGCTTGAATTGCCCTGCCGTAAGATCAGCCGATAAGTAACAGACTGTAGCGGTGTAGTCTCAATCTAACCAGCGCTCGGCCGTACCTGACCATGTTCGATTAGCCATCACAACGTCTTCCTCATTGATCATTGTTGTAGAGACTTCTGCGAATCCCTCGGACATCAAACACCAATCTTGTAAACGACACCATATTCGGAGCAAACTGCAACACTGATCAACACATTAGAACACAAAAATGTCACTTATTATTTTCAATTCATAGCGTGTTAAAGTTCATCCTTTATTGTTGTACAACCCTTAAACGTTTTGAATTTCAAATTATAGCAAATGATAATCATGTTTCGCGTCATATTACAACAAAACTTGAACAAGTTAATTAAAAAGCCTCCAACATTTCTTTTGACATTTGTTAACATATTTAGGTACGTCAAGAAATAATGCAAATACTTGCGGGTACTTTTAATACAAATCGAACAATTAAAAAAATTTTGCTTAAATAATTTCACTTTATCTTTTCTCTACACTTTAATGATACGAAAATATCGTAAGTAGGACAGCAAATTTCATTACGGTATTTAACATAAAAACAGAATCATCAATGTAGAACGCATTATAGTCTTTCACAAATGTAATAATCCTCATACTATTCGAAGATTGTATGTGGGCAAAAATGGGGACTTTATCCCACTTCTGATGTAGGAAGTATAGTGGGTATAGTACAGAGACTGATTTTTGTAGTCAGGAATAATAATTAATTCGTTTACATGAATTAATTATCCAACGAGTCGAGGATAAACTAGTAACGGAATACGACAAGCGCACCGTTCCACGTCAGAAACAAGACTGTCCTAACGGCGGCAGCTCCGTCCGTTTTATACAAGCTAAACGGGCGCCACCGCAGGTGCAATGGTGCATGTGTGCGGAGCACGTGTTATTTACAAGAATTCTGTCTAGCTACACCAACGCCGCCGCACGTGCAATGGTGCACGTGCCGTCATACACAATAATATTGGCAAAGACCTCCATTTTCAAAATTTGAACTTATTTTTTTATTATATCGTTTACAAGTGGCCAGTTCTAAACTTTCAGTGTCGCCCTCGTAATTATGTTACATTTCTAGTATTTTATTAACATTATAAAAAGGGAGACTGATCTGACAAGAAACTGGTTCGGACCAGAATTTCCAAGTAGTTGTAATCAATGGGATTGATAATATATTGAATGGACTTCATTACAATAAAAATTAACGATTTGGAACTATTTATTGATATCTTTGTCATAATTATTTATTTTTATAATAAAAATAACTGAAATTAAGTTCCGTTATGATTTTAAAATAATGAAAAAATTATATATAATGTATAGACGATTGGAGATAAAAAGGAACCAGTGTGGATTTACTTGGAGAGAGAAATGAAGGAAAATGTACACAAGAAACCCTACAATGAAAAAGTGGGTACATGGTTGAAGTTTTTGAAGGAACTAAAACACTATCAAAATCGGGAAGGTATTTTCAATTTTAATACACTTAAATAATTTAAAGCAAATAACAGTTAATATGAACAATTCGTGAATGAATGACGTTTCGCTCGTCATACTCATTTTGGGGTTTTTATTACGTCTTGTAAGATCTTACTAGAATTCGCTGTGATGCTGATGTATGATGATGATTGATTTTATAGGCACTCACTGAGAAGTTCGCAAAAAGAACTGTGAACACCCCTTTTCCGAACTTCTATGAGACGCATTCCTGTCCTATCCACGACGCCACTAAAACATCTAATTGAATTGTATATTGTAAATTAGAATCATATAATCGAATTAATTCAGTCTTGAATGCATTGCATGTTCTTGCATTTTCTTTCAGCTACAATATAAGTACCGTCCATTGCTGTCCACAGTTTCTTCCATCCTTCTTTTTAATATCACCATTTTGTGATGATTTCATTGTATACTATTTATTAACTGGTTAGCAAATAACCTTTTACTGGTTGGGTTGGGTATTTTATAATGGTTACATTGCTATTTGTTGCTCACAAGAATATCGTACGGCAGCAATGAGCACCGCGTGAAGGCGAGATAGTTACAGTATCTGAGTGTAAAGGGATGTAAGTTACCTGTCCTTACACTCGGATACTCGTATATCGCACGCACGTAAGCATTCCTAAAGAACGGAAATAATTTATTTTCGTTCTTGCCACTGTCACCCTTATAATAAAGCAAAACCAAAAATTACCTAATAGTTCATTCAATCTATAAAAAAAAGTTAGTGTTACAGCCTATATACGTCCCACTGCTGGGCACAGGTCTCCCCTCATTTCTGAGAGGGTTTTAGGGTAAGGAAGTCTCCACCGCGCTGCCCTAATGCGTGTTGGCGAACTTCACATCTTCGAAATATTTTTTCTTATTATACAAATAAATAAAATTGAAGTGTCTGTTTGTAATGTCAAAATAACAGTTTTTTTACTAGATGCATATGAAAGTCTATACGGTACTTATAACAAAACACAATTTTTAAAATTTTTATCTGTCTGCCTGTCTCTTTGTTTGTTCCGCCTAATCTCCGAAATGGCTGGACCGATTTTGACGAGACTTTCACTGGCAGATAGCTAATGTTATAATGAGGCTACTTTTATTTTAGAAAAAGATTTAGGGTTCCGCGCAAGAAATTAAAACCCATTAAATCGTAATAAATTACACGCGGACGAAGTTGCGTGTAACTATTAACGTGTAAACCTAGGTGATTTTATGTAGGTAGATAATGTTTGCATGAACATCACTCAATGAATGCTATATTATGATTTATTTATATTGTAACAACACAGGTAAAAAGAAGCTTACAAGATTGAAATCTGAGGTGGGACCTACTTGGTACTGTGAATTATCAAATGTACAGAAGCAAGTTTTGAACGATTTAAAAGCAAACATTCATCAAGACTTGATAGAAGATATTCCAATACGGACAAGAAAGTCATTATCAGATCTAGGAGTGACTTTAAAAATACCAAAAACGTTGTTGATGAAAGCAATGAAAGATTCTATAGAAGACCCTGGAATTTTTATTTGGAATCTTTATACTTCTTTTTATAAAAAGCCACCTAGCTATTTACGACCAGGTAAAGTTCCCATCAAGTAGCCAGAATGTACTTAATAATGCATAGTTGCGATGGAGGGCACTTAGTGAAACTCTATCATTCAACACACAGACCGCTGCGGGAAGAAAATTATATTAGACAAAGAAAAGAATTACAATTTCTCACTTTCCTTTTGATAAAAAAAGTTACCACAACACTAGAATTTTCTCCTGTATTGTGAAGTCGTTTTTCTTCTCTTGTTTAACAGTACTGTGTGTTTGTAGACCATATACGAACACTAAACGAATGGTTTTTTTTTTTTTTTATAGGAGAGGGGGCAAACGAGCATGCGGCTCACCTGATGGTAAGTGACTACCGCCGCCCATGAACAACCGCAACACCAGGGGAATTGCAGATGCGTTGCCGGCCTTTTAAAAAGGAGTAGGCTCTTTTCTTGAAGGTCCCTAAGTCGTATCGGTCCGGAAAAATCGCTGGTGGTAAACTATTCCACAAGGAAGTTGTGCGAGGAAGAAAACATCTTCTAAATCGCACAGTGGTGGACCGCCAATCATCCAGATGGTGTGGATGGTATCGGGAGTAAATAAATAATAATATCTAATATCGGGAATAAATCGGTACACCAGAGCCGTCAAATAGTCAAACAAGTACAAGAGTTATGCCGAAATACTCAAACGCTGCACAATTTTATGATGCTGTTAAATCTAGTGCTGTCTCTATCACTTAAAGTCAAAGTGACTGTGACACCACGGGACTTACGACCATCTTAAAGTTGAGTGGCGTTTGAGTATTTGGCCATTAATCTTATAATCGACACTATGTTCCAGTTTGAAAGGTATAGAAGGAAAAGAGAGCCAGTATAATTACAGGCGTTAGCGTAATTCATCTGAGACCTTAAGCATGACAACGACTTTTAGGTCTTCTTTGTTTGAAGTTGGTTGCAGTGGGCTGTGGGTTGCACTTACAATTCAGTGGATTGTTAGCTCGTTAGTCTCATTAATGTTACAAAAATTACATTGCATTTACATAAAATGCCACCTATTAGCTTTAGACTCAATAGAAAGGCGTCCTAAGAGGTGATTTGAATCTGATTAAAACAAATCTCACCAGCCTCGAACACAAGTTTTGATTTTCTTCAGGATACATTTTGTAGAGAGTGTGTAGGAATTGCATAACTAAATTCCTGCCTGTTTCTTCCACCGTCGGATAACCAGACACTCGGTTTCCACTCCTTCGTTGTCGACTTATACCACACATTCGGTAATCATGCGTACACAAAGGAGTTGCCAGCATCTGTCTTTCACTCCAATTAGAATGTGGGCTTTTGTTAAGCTAAGTAAGTGCACTTTATCATCTTTGTCGGCATCACAATCTTACCATTTCGTGGGATAGTAGTCAAATACTGAATCAGTGAAGTTAAGAAAAAAACTTCATGTTAGTTTTCTGTGACGCCGTTGTACTAGCCCGGTCGAGCCGACCCATTTATACAACAGCAAAAACTGTTGAGTAAAAGAGCTACAAAATATAACCAAACCAAAAATAAAAAAGCGATAAGTAATTAAAAATTTTGGCTAAGGTATTGTATTGTATACTGAGCTCAGGAGGTGGGGCTCGGGACACTTATCGCAATATTCTCTCAATAGATTTATTAAAGATGTTAAAATTTATATTACTTGTACTGTGCCCTTTACCACTAATTTCAACAGAACTTCTCCCATCGCCACTCTTTTCTAGTATAGTGGTCACAAACTAATAAGAATTATTACCGCATATAGTGACGTTAGGATTAGAAAGTCCGGTCACACTTATGCCACTAGTTGTTGGGAGCCACGCTCGAAGTTGTTGACAAGTATGTTTATCTAGATGCAATTTAGACCGAGACGTCAATCAACGGATTCAACTTGGTTGGGCAGCGGTGGGGAAATTACAACACATCCTCGCAATCTCCCAAACTCGTGATACGTGGTAGAGCCATGCTGCAGCTTTAGTGTGGTTGTAGCACGAATGGGTGGGCTCGACCGGGGAAGGACCACGCTCTCACAGAATACCTGCGTAAAATAGCAGCTTAACGCTGCTGTGTTTCGTATGGTGAGTGTAGAGAACCGGAGACCCTTTTTACTGGGAACGAGGCATTCCATCCTACGGTGCGTACACATTATATAACATAACATGTTATAAAATGTTGTTATGTAACATGTTACAGTAACGGTGCGTAAACATTATACAACATAACATGTTAATAATTGTATAATAAACATTTTTTATATAACATGTTTCAGTAATGTGGAGGCGGATTGTTATAAAACGTGTTATATAACGTGACAAAATTGTTAGGGTGCGTTCAGATTAAGTAACATGTTGTATAACTTCTGTTTTATAACACGTCCACATTATGTTACATTGTTTTTCAACATTGAAACATATAACAATACTGTACACATTTGAATAACAATGCAATATAACAATGTTATATGACATTGTCGTTTGTCGTTTTGCAGTGCTTTTCACAATATCGACACGAGAAGAAGTTTAACTAACTTAAAAGTACTCTTGTACTTTTAAATAACAAAAGAAAAAAAAACATAGATAGGGTCCGTCCCAAACAAACATAGTTTGTTGACTAAAGAAATATCCTCTCGAGTTATATAACATATTTTTATAACATTCAGTCTCCACATTACTGAAACATATTATATAAAAATGTTTATTATACAATTATTAACATATTATTTTATATAATATGTACGCACCGTTATATAACTCGAACGGCAAAACGACAAACGACAATGTCATACGACAATGTCATATAACATTGTTATATTGCTTTGTTATCCTAATGTGTACAGTATTGTTATATGTTGCAATGTTGAAAAACAATGTTACATAATATGTACGTGTTATAAACAAAAGTTACACAATATTTTACTTAATCTGAACGCACCCTTAGTCCTCACGGGTGATAAAGCATCTGCATTTTGATTCGTAATCGAAGATAGATGTAGATGTCTATGGGCCACAGCAAATACTTACCATCAGGTGGACTATGTGCTCGTTTGTCACCCTTATCCTATAAAAAAGAGTGTGCAACCTGTGCGTATTACCAGTATAATAATAAATGGACCTGAGCCATGGTACTTCATTGATCTGATTTGTCAGGACGCTTAAGGTCATTTAGCGGCTATGGAGGGGGCTATGCTTGGAGTTTCTTTGCGTGCAAGACTTTGTAATAAGGATATCCACTGAACCACCTGAGTAACCAACATAGACTCTGAAGTGGCGGGACTAGCTCGAAGAACCGACAATCGATGGGAAAGAAAGGTTCTTCGATTGGCAGTCTCGTACCAGTAAGCGAAGTGTAAGGTGGGTCTAGCACTCCATTCCGGATGGCCGATCTAGGCAAGCCATAGGAAGGGAATTACACTATAAACTCCGCGGTAGAACTCGGATATGGTCCGTATTGTTGCCACTCACCAACAGTTAACTATTAGATATGATTAATTGCAGATAAATATTTTTTATTAAGTTTACTAATAATAATAAATAGTAAAGTAAGAAAGTTTCTAACAGTATAGAAAGATATGATTATCCGTAAATATTTATTTGTTTTCATTTGCAGAGTATGATATGAATGCAATGATTTTAATGTCCAGCTTGGTATTTATTGATTTGAACGAATGTATAGAAGAACTAGAAAAGTTAACACAAACAAAAAAAGAAATGGAGCCGGTAGAACCGGAAAGTTTGTATATTTATTTGCGAAACTCTTAAGTTGACGAATCTTTTAGAATCTAATTCGGTATAATTTACAGAGAAAAAGAAAAATTTTAAACCCAACGTAAAATATGGTGATTATCTTCAAAAGAATTATGTCCCACCTTATAATAAATATTCGACAGAGGCGAAAAAGTTAGTAAATAAACCTTTGCCACTTGGAAACAAAGTTAGGTTACGAAGCGAAACTGTAAGTACCTAGATACATAATGATACCAGAATTTTGCAATCAATAAATATCTTAAAATTTTGTGAAAAGTAAATTCTTGCTTTGTGTGGTGAAAATATAATTCAGGCAGATTTTAATGAAAACAACATCTTTAAATTAGCTTGAAATATACATATCTTTTTTTATAGGATAGGGTAACAAACGAGCACACAATCCACCTGATGGTAAGTGGTTTCTGTGACCCAAAGATATAGATCTACATCTATCCTCAATAAAGAATCAAAATGCAGATGCGTTGTCAAACTCAAACGGCAGTCAATTAATTATGACGATGTAAATAATGCTCTATCGAAATTATTACTTTGGTTTAACGTTAACAATTTGCTCTTAGGGTGCGTACAGATCAAGTAACATGTTGTATAACTTTTGTTTTATAACACGTACATATTATGTAACATTATTTTTCAACATTGTAACATATAACAATAGTGTACACATTAGAATAATAATGCAATATAACAATGTTATATGACATTGTCGTTTGTCGTCCTGCCGTTCGAGTTATATAACGTTATATAACAATTTATAACATGTTATGTTATATAGTGTGTACGCACCGTTAAACGGCAATAAGACATTCGAATACCAATGTGTCCCTAAATGGGGAGTCTTGTGGATACCACTGTTTTACTTGGTATTACTGGTACTTGGTATTGAATTTTGGTATGGGGTAATGCGACTGATATTGAAGCCATATTTGTTTTGCAAAAGAGAGCCGTACGGGCGATTTATAACTTAAATTGTAATTATTCCCTCAGAGAAAAATTTAAAGAAATAAATATATGAACTTTGGCATCGCAATATATTTTATGAAAATGTAATGTAATGTAACATAAATAGCTTTAATGAGAATAAGGATGTCCATACTTTAAACACTAGGAATAAACATAACCTTGTAATGCCAGTTACTAGACTTCACAGAATCAGTAATTCATTTATGGGGCAATGGATACGCTTTTACAACAAAATCCTACAATATGTTCAAAGTTTGTCAATAAACAAGTTCAAAAGTTTTATTAAAGAAAAACTGTACAAAAAGGGTTGTTATTATATCAAGGAATACATGAATGAAAATAACCCCTGGGAATAAGGTGTTCGCCACCATGCTGGTTCAAACAAAATTATTGATAAGTGTTTTAAAAAAATGTCCCGCTAGGTTTCTTGCTGGTTCATCCCAGGACAGAGGTATTTTCCGAACCAGTGGTAAATAGAAAATGGACTTTCAATAAGTATTATGTCATAATCTATATTGAATAAAAAACATTCTATTCTATTCTATTCTACCCGTGAGGATAAGATGGAATGCCTCTTTTCCAGTAAAAAGGGTCTCTGGTTCTCTACACTCATCATACGAAGCAGAAGTGTTAAGCTGCTATTTTACGTTGGGATTCTGTGAGAGCGTGGTCTTTCCCCGGTCGAGCCGTCTCATTCGTGTTACAACTATACTACTAATATAGCTGCAGCATGGCTCTACCACGTATAATTTATATGTAAGAGGTTTCAAAAATTATCATGTCAATGTACCAAATTACTCGTAGAATTTGCAAATAGATACAAATATTTAGGATTGTAGGTAAATAATAGTTTTAATTGGAAGTTACAAATTGAAGAAGTATGTTCAAAATTAAGGTCTATAATATATGCTAGGCAAATACTATCAAATTCAAAAAGTAGTAAGTTAGCATGTTCTATTAGTCGTGTACTATCCATTAATTGGATCTTCAATTAACTATGGTCTTATTGCGTATGGTCGCACATTTAGTACCCATATAAAACAAGTGAAATGTCTACAATTTCGCATTATAAAATTTTTAATAAATTCAAAAGATAAGAAAAGTTGTAAAAACGATATTTTTTATAGGATAAGGGTGACAAACGAGCACACAGTCCACCTGATGGTAAGTGGTTGCTGCGGCCCATGGACATCTACATCTATCTATTACAAATCAAAATGTAGATGCGTTGTCACCCCGCGAGGACTAAGATGGAATGCCTCATTTCCAGTAAAAAGGGCCTCCGGCCACCTGCACTCACCAAGCGAAACGCAGAGGTAAATCTCTACTTCACGCTGGTTTTCTGTGAGGTCGTGGTACCACCCCGGTTCGAGCCGGCCCATCCGTGCGACAGCAAAAGCTGCCGCGTGGCTCTACCACTGTTATAACTGAAAAATTATTTCTCACGTGTAAAATACTCCCAGTTGAAACACGATTAATATATTTAATTTCCATAGAAAATTACTATACTTACTGATATTATTAAAAAAAAAAACTGGAAGAACCTAGTGCATATAATTACTATGGACAGCGCTTAAATATTTAATATTTTTATGGAAAAAAACTTGCCGAATGTAATTTTTCTAATGATCTCCTGGATATCTTCCGCTATTGGTACAATCATCAAAACAGTCATGTAAAATGGGGCAGATAAGAACCATTTCTGAACCATACGAGTTAAAATGTGGCGTCAGACAAGGTGGAATAAGTTCACCTCAACTTTTTAACTTGTACATAAATGACCTGCTCGAGAGACTCAGCAGCACTACGGTCGGTTGCCATGTGGATGGAAAGTGTATCGACAACCACTGCTTTATCGAGGGTATCACAATTCAGATACTTGGGACACTACGTGACCGACGATTTGCGTGATGAAATGGACATGGAGAGGGAGCGTAGGGCTTTAGCGACCCGGAGTAATGTTGGCCCGTAGGTTTGCACGATGCAGTAATGCCGTTAAAATAACTCTTTTTATGGCATACTGCCAGTCTTTCTATTCGTGCTCCCTTTGGGGTCAACTACACTCAAAGGGCGTATAAAGCATTATAGGTGCAATATAAAAATGCATTTAGAGTTCTTTTAGGGCTGCCCCGCTACTGCAGCGCTTCAGGCATGTTCTGTGCGGCCCGCACCGACGGGTTTGGCGCAACAATGCGCAAAAAAGCCGCATCGCTACTAAGTTGAAAAAGGAATAGCGCCAACAGTATCTTGGGTGTTATAGCACAAAAAACATGACTGTCCCTATAATAAGGCAAATTACTCGTATTAAGATCCTGCATGGCTGACTTACCTGTGTGTGTATGTATGCCATACATACATACATATGTATGTATGGCTGCATGCGAGCGTGCGCGCGTGCGTGCGTGTCATTTAACTCGTCCACATGGCTGTATTATTATTATTATTATTATTTAGTGATTTTTCTAATATCTCTGATACGAGGGGCACACTGAAATGATTGGGAATAAGAAAAACCACATGCACGGTATAGCTAAATTGTATTTTATTGTTTTTCGAAGTATTCTCCGTTCAACTTAATGCACTTTTCCATTCGTGCAAAGCAATCATTAAAACTGTAATTCCAGTCTGAAGTAGTTGTTGACAAAATGGCTGATTTATACGCTTCCACGGCTGCTTCGGGGTCTTCAAACCGTTGACCGCGTAATAAATCTATCATTCTAGGGTATGTAAAAAAATCGTTTGGGCTCAGGTCAGAACTATAGTATGGCTCATTAGCTCAACGTTTTCCTGCTTCAAAAATCATTTGTCTTCCGAGCCGTATGGGAGCTCGCATTATCGTGATGTAAGATGATGCGACGTTTCGGGTTATTTTTGCGGAGTTTGGCTATAATTTCTGGCAAACAAACTATGATATACCACTCAACGGTAACCGTTCTGCGTTCCTGTAAAGGAATTGTAGCAACATGCACCTTTTCCGAGACAAACGTAGCGACCATTTTCTTTGACACGCTGCGGAAACGAACAACTTTCGTTGGTTTGACCTCGTCTTTGAAGACCCAAACTGCTGACTGATGTTTTATTTCAGGTTCGTATGAATAAATCCATGATTCGTCACCTGAGACGATATTATAAACGGCATTTGACTCCCCTCCGTTGAAGCGTTGCTGAGTATTCCGGCACCAATCTACACGAGCCGCCTTTTACTCTTCGGAAAAATTGTGGGGAACCCAGCGGGAAACTAGCTTTCTTACACACAGCTCATTATGTAATATTGACTGAATTGCAGTCCATTCCTATACTGATAACATGACGGCTCACATGACGGTCATCTAATATAATAGTTCGCATAGCTGCGATGTTTTCAGGCGTGACCGTTCTTGGTCGACCTGCAGAAGAAACAGTGCTGAGCGACACACGACTGCGTTGGAACTCGGCATACCAGCGGTATATTGTCGTTTGACTCGGTGCTTCAACATAATAAATCGAAACAAGTTCGCTGAGACATTTATCTTTAGATAAGCCGCGACGAAAATTGTGATAAATAATGGCACGGAAATTTTCACGCGTGAGCTCCATTTATGTCGACGACATGTCAACTATAAACCGACATAGTTTTTGTTTTTAAACATTTTTTTAATTGTTTGAATGTCATTAATATTCTAAGAGGCCAGTATTTAAATTCTAAAAAGGGTTTTATTGTAACTCAATCCGAAATATTCTATTCCCGATCACTTCAGTTTGCCCCTCGTATTGATCTCATTTGTTATCCGAAATAAAGATTTATTATTATTATTATTAATAAAAAATATATTGTACCCAGATTTTATAACAAAATAAAATGGTAGTTAGCAGTCTTTCGTGATATTGGGGTGGTTTATAGACTTAATTTCTTCACGCAGCACTAACGCGCCGAGAAGCCAGATGAGAACATCACCTTGCGCTTCGTCAGTACTTGTGACATTTTCATGGGCATGGCCCTAATGGGGAAGGTTTTGGAACAGCAGACATATGCCATCGGTCGGTGATAGGTGATAGCATTCGAAAGTGTGGTGAAAAATCTAGCATCGGTGGCATTTTGCGTATATTCCTTTTTACTAAAACGCATCTGCATTTTGATCTGTAACAGAGGATAGATGTAGATGTCTATGGGCCGCAGCAACCACTTACCATCAGGTGGACTGTGTGCTCGTTTTTCACCCTTATCCTATATAAAAAAAAAAAACTTAACCAGAAGTGCGTTCTAACGTCGTTTGATTAGAAGTTAAGAAATAGAATAATGGTACATAAGTTGGGCGTTTCCTTTGTAGTAGGTACTAAGTCACAAATCGGTCAAGGTTGTTTACGTGGTAGAGCCAAGCTGCAGCTGTATTATGATTGTATCATGAATTGGTCGGCACGACCGATGAAGTATCAGAATGTTAGTGTGAAATAGTAGTTTAATGCTGCTGTGTTTCGTATGGTGAGTGTAGAGAACCGGAGACCCTTTTTAATGGAAACGAGGCATTCCATCTTAGTCCTCAGGGGTAACAACGCATCTGCATTTTGATTCTTAATCGAGGATAAATTGGGCCACAGCATCCTCTTATCATCACAGTGTGGTGGACTGTGTGCTCGTTTGTACCCTTATTCTATAAAAATGTACGTGTTATGCACAATTAATATTCTTAGGCACCATAAGGCCACCATATTTTTTCGTTTTACCTTGTTACTCACTAAAATCTAGGTAATTATTAAATCGCTCGCGGGAAACACATTTTGCAACTGTGCGAAATTTCAAGCATTTATGTGAAGCACACTGTGACAAAAACCTGTGACAGACACTGGGGTAAGTAGCGAGCGTCCGGCGTGCTTCAATGTGCTGAACATAGGTGCTGAATCTGCATACTCAGTCAAGCGTTTTATTGAGGCCTTACCTTATGTGTTCCGTAAATTATGACGCGGAACACAAAAGTGCTTTGTAATGTTTATCAACTGTACTTGATTTATTTGTTACAGAGCTATGAAAAACTTTGCGAGGATAAACAATTTGTAAGCTAATATTATGTGTTTTTAATTTTTGTACTCAATATTTGTATATCAAGCCAAATAATCATAAACTGTTTAATTTCAGCTCGAAAAGCGAAAAGAGAGAAACAAAAAAGAGAAACCGGAAGAACGTATCTGTACTTATAAATTTTGGGAGCCACCGTGTACCTTACGTACGTAATAGATGCTGTTCGGCTCTTTTGTATTTAATTACAATAATCTAAATCTATACATCTATACAAATAAATAAAAATGAAGTGTCTGTTTGTAATGCTGAAATAACAGCTTTTTACTATATGCATTATACATATGAAAGTATATACCGTACTTATAACAAAAACACGATTTTTTAAATTTTTGTCTGTCTGTCTTCCTTTCTGTCTGTTTGTTTGTTACGGCTATCTCCGAAACGGCTGGACCGATTTTGACCGGACTTTCACTGGCAGATAGCTGATGTTATAAGAAGTAATTTAGGCTACTTTTATTTTAAAAAGAGAATTAGGGTTCCGCGCAAAAAATTAAAACCGTTGAAATCCAATCGTAAATAAATTATGCGCGGGCGAAGTCGCGGGGGACAGCTAGTACATATATAAAAGCGAAAGGTCACTTACTCACTCATCACGAAATATCGAAAACCTCAAGCAGTTTTCGATATTACGTAAAAAGATGAAATTTGGCAATGAGGTAGTTTATAGTTAGTAGACGTCCACTAAGAACGGATTTTGCGACAGGGGCGGATTAAGGTGGTCCAAGGGGTCTAGCAAGTTAGTTAGAGGTAGTTAGAGGTAGTTTATAGTTAGTAGACGTCCACTAAGGACGGATTTCGGACAGAGCCTGATAAAGGAGGTCTAAAGGCTCTCACAATTTTGTAAGAAAGTCCTGATTTTTTTTGTACTACCGGTATGAAATTTGGCAGGTAGGTAGTTGATAGTTAGTAGACGTTCGCTAAGAACGCGTTTTGCGACAAGGGCGGCTTAAAAGGGTCTAAGCACTCTCGCAAGTTTTTATGGAATTTCTAAATTTTTTTGTACTACCGACATGAAATTTAACAAGTCTAGAGTTTATGAGTAGGAGATATTAGTTAAGAAAGAATTTTGTGACAGCCTGAACTAAGGGCTCTCGCAAGTTTATATGAAATCCTTGGCTTTTTGTACCTGAAAATTCGTAGAGAGATAGAATATACACAGTTAAGACATGTCAGGTAGGAACAGATTTTACGATAGGACCGGTTTAAGGGAACATAATCGATTTCGCAATCCTGTGTGTTCAACAAACATTTATTGATGACTTAAGTATAATACAACGAACAGAAAATACAACTTAATAAAATTCAAACGAAGATAGGTATTTTTTAACATTTACGTAGGTAAGTAGTTTTATCAAGTTATTGCTTGAATATTTTTTTTTATATTTTCCCCTGGGTACTTCAGTGACGTTATTCCGTGGTAAAAAGTATCTTATAGTATCTTGAACCTGGTATTCACATATCAGTGGTAGAGCCACGCGGCAGTTTTTGCTGTCGCACGTATGGGCCGGCTCGAACCGGGGTGGTACCACGACCTCACAGAAAACCAGCGTGAAGTAGAGGTTTACCTCTGCGTTTCGCTTGGTGAGTGCAGGTGGCCGGAGGCCCTTTTTACTGGAAATGAGGCATTCCATGTTAGTCCTCACGGGTGACAACGCATCTACATTTTGATTTGTAATAGAGGATAGATGTAGATGTCTATGGGCCACAGCAACCACTTACCATCAGGTGGACTGTGTGCTCGTTTGTCACCCTTATCCAATAAAAAAAAAATCATATTAAATACCAAATTCTAGACAACATTTTATACATCCACTTTCACCATCGTTTTCTGTAAAACTGTAGATTGAATTTTTAAAAGCCCCCATATAAAATCTTTATTATTACCACTGTTATCATAATCACAAATGCCATATTTTTAAATAGGACTAGAAATGAATGAAATGAGTGATATCTCAGATTTAACAAATGAAAAACTTTGAAACCATTTCCTTCAATCGCACGACGCGCCCTATGCCGCCGAGTGCAATAGAGCGACATTTTTAATAATATGCTTTTAGCAACTGTAAGAGGTGGCCAGAATATTGCCATTGCAGTTGCTTCTTCAGGAATCGCCGCAACTTTGATTGGCGGAGGAAAACGGCACACGCACGGCATTTAAGTTGCCTTTATTACTCCGAACTTACTATGTGCAATATACCAAAACAAAGTGACTTGGCAGAAGTGTTACGAAAAGCAAAATTAATAGTTTGAGATGAGTCTACTCTGGCCCATAAACAAGTGTAGAGGCTCTAGATAAAACACTTTAGGATATAAGGCATTGCAATAGACTTGGTCCCCACATACGGGGGGGGGGGGTCACTGACATCAGTTCAACTGATCATTTCAAACTGATCTAATCCAAAACAAGTTCTACACACACGGTCAGTTCAACTGATCATTCAAACTGATCAGTTCAAACTAGAACTGTTGATATTTTTAAAATATCGGATTTTCATTATATCGATAATTATAAACATCGGAATATGGAAGTTTGATATATCGAAAACATAAGCGATATATCGATGCTTATTGCTTAAAAATGATTTACACAGTTTATAATTTAGTATATTTATTAAACAAATTATATTATAAATGTATGAAAATGTTAGGTTATAGTTCTTAGTAAATATTAATGAGCCGTGGTAGCTCAGATGGTTAGCGCTCGCTGTAAATTTCACAGTACGTGAGCAACCCGGGTTCGGTTCCCGCCGGCACCAATGAAATTGTTAATTGACTTCGTGAGGAAACCTGTATGTCTGAGAAATAAAATTTCGAAAATGTGAAGTTCGCCAACACGAATTGGGACAGCGCGGCGGATGTTTCCTTACCCTAAAACCCTCTCAGAAATGAGAAGAGGCCTGTGCCCAGCATTGGGACACGTACTTATATAGGCTGTAACTTTAATTTTAATTATTGTTTAATTTAAATAAGACAATTATGTTTAGCAATATTTTTTAGTAAGATTTTTCAAAAATGCTCGTTGTTTTATATGTTCAGCTGTTTCAATACTGCGATTATTGGGCACTAAAAGATTGATTGTAGAAATAATTCATTCAGATGCTACGGATGCAGCTGAAGAAATCAAATATTTAACAGCTATTTCTTATAGCACGGAAGTAAATCATAAAACGCCTAAGCGATCAAAATAACTTGAGGCTTATACCAATTTCGAAGTATTTCTTGTTATTGCCAAAGCTCGTTTGCTATATTTTTCCAAATATACGAGTATTATTTGTACTATACGACTTTGTGTTTTTGTCTCTGTCCTCCTCCTAGCTTTGGTTTTATATGGCGATATAGCTTAAGGTGACCATATTACTCTCACTTACCTTATTAGTACCTAGTGATTGTCGTCCTAACTTATACGAATCTGATATAAAATAAGAATTGATTAAGGTGCTGGACTGCACTGCACTCATGGTGGAGTGTCTGAAACACATTGACATTTAATGACTAATATCATCCCTATCTGATATTCCAATCCATAACCCTCTGGACTCTATAAGTAGAACACGTCCACGGTTAAGCGTGCAGCTGAGAAGAGTAATTTAATTTTTAATTTAATAATATTATCATTTGCAGGAAACAGCGACCCGAAATTAGTCGCGTATCTAAATAAATTAAAAATGTTAAAAAAGAAAGCCAAACCTAAATACAGATCGCCGTACAACAATGTTCAGTACCAAGTGTCTGGAGTTGTGTTTTCAAAAGGGAAACCTCACTATATTTTAAATAGTAAGTTTTTCATATTATTAATCTATACTATTCAACAAATAAATAAAATTAAAGTGTCTGTTTGTAATATAAAAATAACAGCTTTTTACTAAATATATACGAAAGTGTATACGATACTTATAACAATAACACAATTTAAAAAAAATTCTGTCTGTCTGTCTGTTTGTCCCGGCTAAACTCCGAAACAGCTGGACCGATTTTGATGGGATTTTCACTGGCAGATAGCCACAGATTACCCCCTATTTTTAAAATTAAATTTTTAAAATTAGGAGGTAATCTATGCAGATAGCTGATATTACAAGGAGTAACTTAGGCTACTTTTATTTTAGAAAAAACAATTAGGGTTCCGCGCAAAAAAATTAAAACTCCAAATAACACGCAGGCGAAGTCGCGGCGAACAGCTAGTTTTTAATAAAACTCTTTATTTTGAACACTTAAGTATATTTTTTCAGTGGCATATAACTCGGTATAGTTATAATTTTTCGAACGGTTATAAAAACGTAACGGTTTCGTCATAACTTAACAAAAAGATGTGGCATAAGTTATTTTTTAGTTATGCTAAAAAAAACTATGATTAATGTTTATAATAGCAACAAGAGTACTTATTGTACATAAGGGCCATATATAATAAATGCCTAATAACAAATGTTCATTATGGATTAAGTATTTTTAATTATGATTCTAATTTTAGACGTTTCTTTGTTACCAACTGGATTTATACCTATTAATGGGGGAATTGTGAAATACGGCAACGAAAATTTTACTAACATACATGGCTATTGGAAATTTCCTAAAGATGTAAAAGAACAATGCAGTGATATGTGTGATTGTCTAGCTAAATGGTAAGAGCATTACATTTCATATAATTTACTCACACAGAAAAACTTTTGAAAAATTTATCAATCATTAAACTGATTTTTAATCGTCTATGAAAAGGAGGAGGTTCTTAATTCAAGTGTATCTTTTTTTGTATGTATGTTGCGCGATATTTTCGTAGATTGTGAAGAGATTTTAATCATTCTTTTTTTATTAAATAGGCTGTACCTCAAGGGTGGCCCCATTAAATTTTGAAGAAACAAAATTCCGCTCCCAAGGGTGGGAAATAGGGGAAAAAGTTTCATATTGGTCTATTGTTTAAAAAATTTCATATGATATCTTCGCAGAGTGTGAACTGATTTTAATGATTCTTTTTTATTAAATAGGCTGTACCTCAAGGGTGGCCGCATTAAATTTTGAAGAAACAAAATTCCGCTCCCAAGGGTGGGAAATAGGGGAAAAAGTTTCATATTGGACTATTGTTTAAAAAATTTCATATGATATCTTCGCAGAGTGTGAACTGATTTTAATGATTCTTTTTTATTAAATAGGCTGTACCTCAAGGGTGGCAGCATAAAATTTTGAAGAAACAAAATTCCGCTCCCAAAGGTGGGAAATAGGGGAAAAAGTTTCATATTGGACTATTGTTTAAAAAATTTCATATGATATCTTCGCAGAGTGTGAACTGATTTTAATGATTCTTTTTTATTAAATAGGCTGTACCTCAAGGGTGGCCGCATTAAATTTTGAAGAAACAAAATTCCGCTCCCAAAGGTGGGAAATAGGGGAAAAAGTTTCATATTGGACTATTGTTTAAAAAATTTCATATGATATCTTCGCAGAGTGTGAACTGATTTTAATGATTCTTTTTTATTAAATAGGCTGTACCTCAAGGGTGGCAGCATAAAATTTTGAAGAAACAAAATTCCGCTCCCAAAGGTGGAAAATAGGGGAAAAAGTTTCATATTGGTCTATTGTTTAAAAAATTTCATATGATATCTTCGCAGAGTGTGAACTGATTTTAATGATTCTTTTTTATTAAATAGGCTGTACCTCAAGGGTGGCCGCATTAAATTTTGAAGAAACAAAATTCCGCTCCCAAAGGTGGGAAATAGGGGAAAAAGTTTCATATTGGACTATTGTTTAAAAAATTTCATATGATATCTTCGCAGAGTGTGAACTGATTTTAATGATTCTTTTTTATTAAATAGGCTGTACCTCAAGGGTGGCAGCATAAAATTTTGAAGAAACAAAATTCCGCTCCCAAAGGTGGAAAATAGGGGAAAAAGTTTCATATTGGACTATTGTTTAAAAAATTTCATATGATATCTTCGCAGAGTGTAAACCAATTTTAATGATTCTTTTTTTATTAAATAGGTTATACTTCAAGAGTGTACTCATATAAAATTTTTGAGAAAAAATTCCACCCCTAAGGGTAGCAAATACATAATTTCTATTTTAGCAATTTGAAGTCGGTTTTTACTTTTTATTAAAAGTTATAATTTTTTTTTATACGATAGGGTGACAAACGAGCACACAGTCCACCTGATGGTAAGTGGTTGCTGTGGCCCATAGACATCTACATCTATCCTCTATTACAAATCAAAATGTAGATGCGTTGTCACCCGTGAGGACTAACATAGAATGCCTCATTTCCAGTAAAAAGGGCCTCCGGCCACCTGCACTCACCAAGCGAAACGCAGAGGTAAACCTCTACTTCACGCTGGTATTCTGTGAGGTCGTGGTACCACCCCGGTTCGAGCCGGCCCATCCGTGCGACAGCAAAAGCTGCCGCGTGGCTCTACCACTGTTATATAATAATTATTATTACATTTAAAGGGATGACCGTGTGATGGAATATATTAAACAGTCAAAATGCAAGTGCGGTCACTATTACGATTATTATTTAGACGGCAAATTATTAGAAAAGTATTTCTATCAGTCTTCGAAACACGGCCCATTTTGGTTAGACTACGCTAAAATATATCAAATGGATCCCATGGAGGACTTCATTAAGGATGAGTTTAAGGAAGCCCTTATGTCTACAGATCATTCGGTAAAATCAATTTTTTATTTCGATACTATTATTGATTTGAAAAATTTTAAGATAAGGCAATACATAATATTACAATGTATTTATAGCCTCAAGCCTCAGTTCGTACGATATTGCCATCAGGACTCAATGAAAAGGAATTGTTATCGGTACGTACAACCTTTTTTTTTTATCAAAAAATTGAAATTTCAGCTCATAAACGTCTCACTGTACGGTAGAGCATCTCTACTCGTTTCTTCATGGGAGTTGACGGGGTTCACTTTTTTATACACTTATGATGGTTAGAAAAGAGCAGACAGTCTACCTGATGGTAACCGATGCTGTGGCTCATAGGCATCTACATTTATCATCGGTTAAGAATCAAAATACAGATGCATTATCACCTCCATGGACTACGATGGAATGCTTCGTTACCATTCAAAAGGGTATCCGTTTCATGCTGCTATTTTAAGCTGGTATAGTCTGAGAGTGATGCCTTTTCTGTTCGAGACAACCTTGCGCTGGAGCATTAAGATGCTGAGCTGCCGAGTGTTTCTGTCACGTAGCATGTTTTTGAAATACTTTGATTTCTCGGGATAATTTATAATTGCAATTAACAACATAATTTGTTAGATTGGCACAGCGACCGAAGATAATTTAGGTTGCTCACATATTATGAAAAAGACGTGAGTTCGACTTTTGAGCTTTGTAGCTAATTTTTAAGGCTTAAATAAAAACTTTAAATTTTAAACCCTTAAGCCCTTGGACTACGCTCTAACAAATTACCAGCGTAAAATAGCAGCTTAATGCTGCTGTGTTTCGTATGGTGAGTGTAGAGAATGGAAGACTCTTGTTACTGGAAACAAGGCATTACATCGTAGTCCTCAAGAGTGACAACGCATTTGCATTTTGATTCTTAATTGGGGATCAATATAGATGTCTAGGGGCCACAGCCTTCACTTACCATCAGGTGGACTGTGTGCTCGTTTGACACCCTCATTCTATAAAAAAAAACCCATATAGTTTCGTCATGTCAAGTCCGTCCGTCCACGGTTTTACTTAGAGACCCTAATAATAATACGTTTATTTGTTGATCACAAGTCATACATTAAAAGATGTTAACAATTATTGCTGATTGTGTCATGTATGATCTACCATTAATTGGCATTCAAATATTTAAATGGAAATAAATTGTCCGATTAGTTGAAATGTCAAACTTTTACCAATTACGAGGCCAATCATCAAATCATAATTTTATAATTTTAGTAAATGTAAAAATAAATAAATAATTAAATAAAAAAATTAAAAGAAAGATCAATCTTGTCAATAAAACAATTCAAAATTTTTCATGAATAATTATTCTATTAGTTGATTCATTACACGAACATTGAGTAGTAAACTTTTTCAACTAATAGAGCTTTTAGTTTTGTCTCAAAGTCTTCTATTTTTTTTTCTTTAATATTGCTAGGCAAATGATTGTAGATAACAGGAGCCATCCCTGTTATGTCGTAATAGTGCTGTTTTACCTGGTACACTAGCTTTAAAGCGGTAGTTTCTTTTAGAGTCATGTGCCCCCCACACCACATACTTAATATTATAAAGAGGAAAGATTTTTTATTTTTTTGTTTGTACCGAATAAGCTTCGAAACTACGGGACAGATTTTAACCATTTTTGATACCAATCATCAAATCACCAATAGAAAGCTAAATTATCAGGAAGTAACAGGCTATAAGTTATTTTCTAAAAAATAGTGATTTTAGAGAAAAATAGAGATAATAGTCGACCAATTTATAAAATGCACTTGGATCAGAAAATTTTTCGTTACAATTCCATATAAAATTACTAGTAGGTAATATTATTGTAAACTGTTAAAGATATATTTTAGATAATTTTTATAAGAAAACGACTAATGCATTATTACTATAGCTTTAAGTTTTCCTTTGCGGGGAATGCAGAGAGGATCATCAGACAGATCCTAACATACCATTTTCACTTATTTTTAGTTACTCTTGGTTAGGGTTACCATATCTCAGGATTTGTCCTGAGATTTCAGGATTTTTAGACTCTTCTCAGGATTGCGGCTGGATTTTGCAAATCTCATGAAATCTCAGGATTTTTAGAACTTTCAATATAATACAGCTTACATTTTAAAAGATCTCTTAATAAAAAGTTAAACAAACTAAAAATAATTTTACTTTGTTAATAATTCCACAATTAAAATCAAAACTTATTTATCCAAATAGGTACTTAAACAGTTTTATCATACTTAATATGTGAAGATACCTTTTTAAGTAAGGTTTTTTTCTCAAACTGTAAAAAAAATCTCAGGATTTTTAAATGGAAATCAGGACTCTTCTCCGGACTTTTAATTTTTTCATCTGGGAACCCTACTCTTGGTTTACGCGGCCGACCTTCAGAATAGTTTTGGGCATTAGTGTTTCAGGGGAAAGTTTGTTACGGTCATGTATATATTAGAGTGGCAGTGCCGGGAACTAAAAAACGGACTTGGCACGTGATGTGTAACTTTTCGATTTTGAAAAATACAGTGGAATCTCGATAACTCGAACCTCGTTAAGTCGTAATTCTCAGTAAGAAATAGTTGAACCCCTAAATACGCGATATCTAAAATTATTTAGACATTGTAACTCAAACAAAACGTGATTTCCTTGCGAGGTATTGATAGTACATATTTATATTCTATAACCCGAATTTCAAAAAACAGACTCCTTTAGTCAATGTTAGTAAAATATAATGACGTGTTACTTGGAATTCCCCGAACTCAAACAATAAAATCCAAAAGGAATGTTTGTTGCTTCTGTTCTATTGTGTGTACTTTGTACATGTGCAATGAATTTCAACGTTCATTAAACTTTCTAAGTAACATATCTATGTATACCTTATTTTTGTTTATGTTAGGAAAAATATCTCAAAATTCTTGTTAAGTCGAAAACTCATTAAATCTGAATTTTTAGGACTTCCTTTGAAATTCGAGTTGAGATTCCACATAATCGAGAAGCTTTTTAATATTTTTGAATACTTACCACTTCCTATAAGTTTGATTAGAAAATAAGTCCTTCAATTACCATCGTCCTATTGGCGCCCAGATTTAATCGTTATAGCGGTCAAACCACAAACTCACTTAATATGCTCATACTATCAAGAAGGCCCCTTCTAAGGTCCGGTATTGTGACGCGCAACTACGGAACCCTACATTGAGCGTGGCCCAACACGTACTTAGCCAGTTTTTTATAACACAATTTGTTTTACCTTAAGTAATCCGTACATCGAGAAAGACTGTGTTTAGAAGTGACCAACCTGAACTGAACGTTAATATTGCTTTGGTTTTTTTTCAGGCATTTTTAGCGGAATTGTCTGACACACCACTTCTTATACCGCACCTACCACAAGCTAATTTGTTAAATAATCTTCAAGAATGGACTAGGAAGCGAGTGAAGGGCAAAATGCCGCCATCTAGTCATAGTAAGTTATATCTTGTTAATTTCTATCTTTTAACGTACTTATATAAATTACAATGCCATCAAAAACTTAACTTGTAAAAAAAGCCAAGTCTCGCAACTCAGTTCTTCTACCGTAAAAAGTTATGAGATCCATGTAAAACCAAATCGGTTAATTTATTCAGTCCCTACTTAAGGGTCCTTCTGTCTTAAGTTATTACGTAATTAGTTAACCTAACAAAATCTTATAGTGACCATATCAATATCAAAAATCTTTTATGTTCTAAATAAATAGATTGACTTGGCTATCGCATGAAAACACAATGTATCTCTCAAGTAATACATATTATATTAATATGTATAAAACCTACATGGTTAGTAAAAATTCAGGCTCCTAGTTTTATCCACAACGAAGTTAAAGGGTTTCGAAAATGGCCTGAACCCTGAACTGCTTCTAGAAAAGGATGGTACGGCCGTGCCGCTTTCTTGCTCGACTTGGCGGGGGCAATGCCGTGCCCCCAGATAGATAACTCTTTCCGTGATTCACAAATATTCATTATTTCCTTGGTTTTCTTACTTGACACAATTTAAACAAAAATATATGACATTTTTTAAGTCTAAAAGTTTAACTTAAATTCATCATCATCATCATCATTATTACAGCAAGTCTACTGCTGAATATATGCCTAACTTAAATTATTTAAAAGAAATTCGGAGACTCTCGGGAGTATATTGCTATGTTCGTCCGCACCGCAATATATATTTTTAATAATATTAGGATAACAAACGAGCTAATAGTCCACATAATAGTTAGTATTTACTGTAGTCCATGGACACGAACACCTGCGACTGACTTTAAACAAAGGCCACAAATGCGTTGTCACCCTTGAGGATTACAATAAAATGTCAAAATATAGAAAAATAAAAGTCATATGTTATGATAGTGATGTTACTGAATTACCCGTGTAGTGGCAGAGTGCGAATATTCACTACCGTATATTGTCACGTGGGTGTTGTGAGAAGTGACAGAGAGAAACAAAACAGAAGATGGGCAGCAGCGTCTCCCTAATAACGGCTACATAATAAAACAGCGCGGTTGCTAATGCGTCTGCAAAGCGCTGCAGCTATAGCAAATACATTTCTTATGATCTATCAGGAGGCCTATGTTCAGCAATGGACTTTGATCTGGTGTTATGATGAATGATGATATGCTTTTCAAGTTCTCACGCTTGTCACCCAGAGGGAGTAGTAAGACACTCCGGTCTTCCATTTGGCACGATCCTGACACAACTCTCTCGCTTTTTACACATCTGCATATATACGCATTAAAGCTCGTTGGTTAAGGGTCTTAATTTATCCCATCTTCAACATGTAGACATATCGCCAATTCAGGCAATTAATATCCGTCTAGCCTCCCGGTCTAGAGCCCGATGTAATATATGATTTTTTTATGGGTATGATTTTTTTTGCGATTATTCTCGTAAATTATTTATAATTACGTTTTTTACATGTTATAGTGGCAAGAAAAAATGCTTAAAAATTTTTTTGTATGGAAAACTGGTTTTTCTTGTAGTATATATAGGACATCTATTTTATACTAAAAATATTTTATTTTTTTGATTTACTTATTTTTTCTCTAATAAATAACACAATTTATACGCATTCATATATATTTTATTCAAAATTAACTGTTTTTGTATCTTAATTGCTACATAATTTGAACTCTCATAATTACAATTGAACTTTTTTTTTATAGGAGAGGGGATAAATTAAGCAAACGAGCATGCGGCTCACCTGATGGTAAGTGACTACCGCCGCCCATGACCAACCGCAATACCAGGGGAATTGCAGATGCGTTGCCGGCCTTTTAAAAAGGAGTAGGCTCTTTTCTTGAAGGTCCGTAAGTCGTATCGGTCCGGAAAAATCGCTGGTGGTAAACTATTCCACAAGGAAGTTGTGCGAGGAAGAAAACATCTTTCTAAATCGCACAGTGGTGGACCGCCAATCATCCAGATGGTGTGGATGGTATCGGGAGTTCTGCCGCGATGTGCGTTCGTGGAATTTGGCGGCTGAGATTAATCCGAACAATTCCTCAGAGCACTCCCCGCAGTAAATGCGAAAGAAAATGCAAAGGGATGCAACATCTCTTCGCAGCGCCAATGAGTCGAGCCGATCGGAAAGGGCTTGGTCGTCGACGATTCGAGCCGCTCTGCGCTGGATGCGTTCAAGTGGAAGGAGCTGGCACTGGGGAGGCCCAGCCCAGAGATGGGAACAGTATTCCATGTGAGGTAGAACCTGCGCCTTGTAAAGTTGCAAGCGTTGTGCCGGCATGAAATACTGTCCTGCTCTGCTGAGCATGCCAAGCTTTTTAGAGGCCAATTTGGCCTTCTCTTCCAAGTGATCACGAAACTTCACGTCACTCGATATGTCGACTCCGAGGATACCGATACTGACTGAGGCAAGAAGGGGAGTGCCTTGAAACTGAGGAGATACGACAAAGGCTTTCTTTTTAGCGGTAAACGCGCAAACTTGTGTCTTCTGAGGATTAAACTGGACTAGATTTAGTCGCCCCCAATCCGAGACTTTGTCCAGCAAAGACTCGACTTCAGGCACAAGTTTGTTCCGGTACTCGGCGACGTTTTCCCGAGAAATATTGGCACGGCCGGTGTATAGAGCATCACCAATGTTGTCATCCGCATAGCAATGAATGCTACCGGTTTGCAACATATCATTGATATGCAGAAGAAACAGAGTAAAGAACAAATTTTTCTATTTTTAGTGGGCTTCCAACTGCTTTCAATTCGATTGTGTCTGATGTTTTCTGTCTCACAAGCCGCAATGATCGGATCAGAAAGAAACATAAAACGAAAACCAAACATGCATTTATTATCAAACCATATAAAAAATTTCCTTAAAATTCATCATCCATATTTTTTAAATAAAAACAATGCGTTGCATTTTTGCAATGTTGGCAACCCTGGTAATAATAAGTTGACAAGTTGCGTTACGCACTGTATTTAATTCCTATTGACGTATTTTACTTTTAATTTAAAAAAAAGATGGGAGAATTTTCCTTTCACTTTGGCAACATTTCCATATAATGTCTTGTGTCAGTTTTTACAAATTCATATTTATTTTTGATGAATGTTTTACGTAAAAATATAAGTTCAAAAGCATTACTTACTCGTGAAATATAATGTTACTATGTTTATTGTGTTTCTCTGATGTACTGACATCCGTTCACTGCATAAACCGTCATTTTTAATTAAAATTTCGGGAGCTGTTGTCAACACGACACGACTTTGAGCACGGGCTGAGTATTGAACTAAGCCGTACTGGCTTAGTTTGAGTTGCCTCACATTACGGACATGGACTCGACTTCTAGGTGTTATTATTCTAAGTGGATATCATGAAAATAATAAGTCTGAATTGGATTCAGCGTCAGCGGTATATCCATGGAATTGAGCGTAACAATTCCTAGAACTATTCAGACATAGGAACACGTGGCAGAACCGAAATTTGGCTGTAGTTTTCTTGTTGCAGCCCTCTTTGCGACATCTCTGCTCTTTTTTTGTCATATGTCGAGCATTGGAGGTTCTCTTTTGCAGAATCGGTAAGGGGTTTATTGTAACCCGTCTCTTTTCTTTGCTAGTTTGGCTGTTCTAAATTTTAATCACAAAATTGTTCATTCGACTGTATTTTTTCAATAAATTAAAGCCCAACTTGTATTCACGAAGCTGAAGTATTTTATGTAAGTGAACATTATGAAGTTGACGTTGTGTACGATAGTTTGATTCGGCAATATCAATGATGTGAAAAATAAACCTGATTGTCCTGACTTACGAGTTCGCGCCCGTATCGGGCAGACTGCTATCATTCTGTTCGTCAAGTCAACGCCACGCATGTTGGCGTTGTACATTTTAATGATTTCAGATCGTGGAACTCGCACATATCTCTTAATAAGCTGGTACCAAAGCTTCCATAGGATTTTTGATCAGGTAGACAAAGTAACAAATATATAACAGCCCTTTTGTCTAGCCATTTCATGATTGCAATTTTTCCATCTGGAGAAGCTAGATCCTCAGTAGTTCTGCGATTCTGTTTTGAGAACCCATTGCCATGTGTCATAATGCATGGTTATGGTTGGACTAAATGTTTCCGTCCAATTGTTGCTTATAATGATAATGTTTTTGATTCCAATCTTGCGCACATCTACCACTTCCGTGTACTCGTACCTGACGTACACTGTTCCTTACAGCTGTTCGTGACGGTCCTCTCGTTACTCTAGAATTTGTTAGTCCACGAGTCAATGAAAACGATTAAAGTGCTGGTGACGACCGTGGTAGTGATTGTCGGTTGGCATCAGATTAGTACATTCTTTCTTCTGATTCGGAACTATTACGCCAATCTGAATCAGATTTGGCGAGTCGTTGGGGTGGCTCATATAGGTCGTAATCATCAGAAGCACTGAAATCACCCTCACTTTTGTCCAACTCCTTAAGAATTTGTGCAGCATTTAAAACTAAAACAAGGAAATGATATATATTAAAGGACGGACGTTCTAAACTAAGTACATTCCAAATACCAACATAGCTGTATAGGAAGTTCTTGTACCTAAATAAGAACATCGATGAAATCCGATTAGTGAAGTAGGGTTATTTGGGTAAAAAATGAAATAATTGCGAGTGGTTGCACTAATATTAATCGTTCTATATAAAAAAAGATTATCTAATAATATGGAATTACCCCAACGATCCGGCGCGCGCGCGATACGTTGTTGCGACGCGACGCCATGTTCGGTTTGGTTTGTTTTTTACAAACTTCGCGCAAAAAAAAAATGCTTATAAACTGATTCACCTTGGCAAAATATTAAATTTTTTTGTTAGTTCTATATTAAATACCTTAGTAATCAGGAGGCTAGTGTGTGGAGTGTGACTCTTCTTTTCTTATATACTCTTTGTAAATCTTCAAAATATCCAAGTATACATTTTATAAATCTTGATAACAATATCTGTCTTGCATACTTTTCGCCTATCACATACTTTCTCAGCCCACATCTTAATGATTGCATTTTGGCACAATTCATTTTACTCATACGCTTATTCTGTCACAACTAAGTTTAACTGCCATACATTAAGTTTGGGGAGCGAATACAGCATTGCTAATTAGTAATTACCAAACGTGCCTTTTTAGGGTTTTGTACCCAAAGGGTAACCAACGGGACCCTATTACTAAGCCTCTGCTGTCCGTCCGTCTGTCTGTCAGCGGGCTGTATCTCATGATCCGTAATAGGTAGACAGTTGAAATTTTCACAGAATGTATAATTCCGCCACTAAACCACTCGGTCATAATGGTTTGAGTTAGATATTGATCTGCAATTTTACTAACTACATTTCAACCTTACAGGACAATTGTTACTACAATCACAACGCAGATGGCTTGATTTAAAACATATTGATTTTCGTGCACGTGCCTACAGAATACCATTTACAACAACAGAATTAAATAACATGAATTGGTCTCATCGACGTTTAGTTCAGAAACTGGTAATCAAATAATTATTAACTTAATAATAATAAGAATTCGGAGTATTTGTACAGCCAAAATCTTGTAGCAAGGGTCCTACACCAAGAGCTCTCTCTAAAATACAGCCTCGGAGATCGGAAACTATGATAATGTAAGTATTAAATTTGCGGAAGCCGTGCTAGAAAATGACCGCGCTGTGCTCTACTGGGACCTGGCCATCATCATGGACAGAACTATTCTTACGAATAAACCCGATATTGTGCTGATAGACCGGGCACAATTAAGGAATTTTTTGGTCGACATTACCGTTCCGTATGACGAGAACCTCTTGAAAGCCGAAACGGGTAAGCGAACAAAATATCTGAACCAGGTTCGCGAGGTAACCGATACGTGGGATGTTCTGCCCACCTAAATAATTCCTGTTCTCGTTTCCAGCAAACGGGTTAATCCTGATTAGCCGTAACAAATGCGATGCTCCTCATTACCGCCGGTATTATTTTACTTTAATATGTTCCTTACATATTGTTATTTTATTTCTTTTTTTTAAATTTTCATAAAAAATTTTATTTTAGTTAGTGACCCGGGGCAACTTCTAGGCTACTTTATATCCGATTAATGAACTCCCAAAAAGGATTTTCTATTACACGTGATTCTGTTGCTTACGGCTGTTTTGGTGATGCATTTGCTATTTTACACCTTTGTCTTCCTTTACGTTTGCTATGCTTTCATTGCTTTATGTTTTCATCGAACTAAATGGTAAAAGCGGTAACCAGCGCATTTCATTCATATGATAGAACGGTATAGCAACGGTAGAGCATTCTAGTTCTGTCCGGTAAACAATCGCGTTGTACTATAGTTTCAAGGGATAAAAACGAACCAATGTCGAGCGCATATTAGACATAGATCATTATCAGATAGGTTAAAATCACTTCATTTCATTCATTATTTGATGTAACGCGAGAGTGTCCGCCTTGTGATGACAAATTTCTCGCTTTTTATAAGTTTCCTGGCATAATCTTTCAATAATAAATATTTTTCCATTTGGATTTCTTTGCCTGGAATCGGAAATATCACAGCTTCGTTTATAACTGGCGACGAATGATACCAAATATGAAAAACGCATGATATAAGTACCTCATTAAATAATTTAGAAGAAGCAAGAGCTGTGTACATTATTCACATCTGTTGTCATTCACAACTCATAATAACCGTTTCGAAAACCGCCGTAAACTACATACTGAATAATTTAAAATTTTGTACAACCGACTTCAATAAAAATTATTAAGAATAACTCAAAACCTATTGACCAGACCTTGATTAAATTTATATTGGACCACATGATAAGCACCAACTTTCAAATAAAAAAAGAGTCATCCAAATCGGTTCACCCAGAAAAAAGTTATGAGGTAACACACATAAAAAAACAGTGAGAAATTGAGTATCTCCTCTATTTTGAAGTCGGTAGAAAAATTTGCTCGCTATAGCCGCCAGGGAATTATATCAAAAAATTTAAAGTGACTAAGTCTCCTTATCTGTCAATCATATTATATTATTTAAGAGAGTAACTTTAAAAATAATATCACGGGTGGACTGTGAGCTCGATTCTCACTCTTATTCGATACAAAAAATTGAAAATAGATGTAAATGTTTATGGGCCTTAGATTCATCTGTCACCCTTACTATACCTGTGATGAAAGCGTAAAATACACTCGTAGTACTAGTGTCCTATTTATAGGTTAATATCTAGATAGAAAAAAAGATCCTATATATTATATTTTTGGTATAAAGTAAATATAGAGCTTATAAACACCAATGTCACCATAATTTATTTATTCACATAATGAACTTATTAGTCTTTAATCATGTCCTAAGTAGGACTCTTTTTTTTCTTTCTTTTTCCTTTTCAACCTAGGAGTCCATCAGGGTAGATACTACACTCTTATCCATTTCTGTGTTTCGGTCTGACAGTAACAGAGAGCCAGTACTATTACAATCAGTAAGACATTCCATCTTTTTCTTCGGAGTTGACAACGCCTTCTTTGTTTGAAGTTGGCTGCAGATTTCTACGGACTACAGTAGTCACTTACTATCAGGTGGACTGTGGTTCGTTTGTCACTTCACTTCGGTATTATAAAAAAAAAATTAACTAATTACAATAGTGATATATTTGTTATTGATTTCAGTTTGATGTAATGCTAAATGATTTTGTTACAAGAAATCGATTAAAGCAACTTGAGCAAACGAGACTTTGGTGGTCTACTACAAAACATGATGCTTATCCTAGTAAAGCGTTTTTGTAAGTGATAAAAGCCCTTTTTAAGATATAAAAATTATATTTAATAAAATAAATTCAAATAATTCTGATAACTTACAGAGATATATTTTTTACTTATATGCCTGGGCGAATGAAAGATACCTTCCTTATAAATCCATATAGCTCCGAAGTTACAAAAAAACATGGAGCAAAGACATGTCCACTTTAAGAAAGATAAATTATAACATAAGTATTACCTAATATATATCGAGGAAAGTGTGAAAATTTAAATTGTTATCCTTATGTATGTACAAGTTCTATTCTCTAATATTTTGTACTAATAGAAAAACTGTTAGTGTAACTATAATATTATATTTTTGTTTTATGTCGTTTTTTAAATGTAAGAGTATTGTATATTTTAAAGTTTTTAATTAATACACTCAACTAATCTTTCTGGCGTTTTTATCATCATTATTAACTGCATGATTTCAGCTCATTTCAAGTCAGCAGCTAAACATCGTCATCATCATTACAACCCATCACAAATCACAGTCCTATCACAATAAATGCCACCTCAAAGGAATGTTGCTAAGCATGGTCCTGAGCTACCTCAGTCCATCGATTTCCTGCATCTCTGATCAGGTAGTCAATCCATCTAGTGAGAGGCCGCCTCACACTTCACTTACCGGTATTACCACTCGAGAACCTTTTTCCACATTGGTTGTCGGTTTTTTGAGCTAAACGGCCCTGTCCGTTGGTCATTTTATAAGCATAAATGATGTGTGACAATGCAGCGACAGAACTGCTAATTTGGGAATAAGGACTTAGGGACTCTTTCATACAGATTTCTTCGATTTAATAATCACAGATTCACGCGGATGTAGTATTCTGTACTGCAAAGTAACATGATTAATGTGATTCAATAAAAAAAAAGACACAATTCATAAGTATTCGTTTTATGGTTTAAGCTAGAATAATTCATACCTAGTCTATAGTTCTTTATGCAAGTTATTTACTGAGCATGCTCTGCTCATTACATCCGTTTCTGTCAAATCCGGTTTTTATTTAATGTATTGAAAGTTGCTACTATTTATATTAAGCTTTAAAGATAACATAAAGTGAAAAAGCGAAGAAATAGAGATTGGTTGTTATCTCCAAAGATTAAGGTGATGTACCTTTTTTACTAGTAAAAAGGATAGGATGTAAAATAGCAACACTATGCTGCTATTTCATTGTTTAGAAAAAACCATGAGGGCACAAATTGGTTCCAAGTAAGAAACGAATGAAAATGGGCGCTACGTTTTCCCAAAGTATAAAATTACAAATTAAACGTTTGTATTTAATATCACAAAGGAGTACACCCGCGGCTTTCGTCGTCGGTTCATGAATGAAAAACAAGAGGAAAGTACATCTTCGGGACATTTTCCTGATTGCTGTCCACGATTCTGACAGACTTCCGGATGAGATGAGTGATGAATGGGTGATGGAATTCGGATAGACCACTTTTACCCTCGTAAATAACTATATTCTTTGGTCTCTTTTGGCCCGTATTATAGAGATGTAACACAGGTTGTCGATTTTGACATCGGAGTTTTGGCGGAAACCGCCGGTGGATTATTTATACTTTTTAACACTAAAGTAAGGTTCAAAGAGTATTTTGATACGTAAAATTTATCCGATTTTGTGTTTTATGTGTATGCACATGTGAACTATTAGTAGAAACAGCGAAGCAAGATCTCAGTTGTTGATAGTTATTTTGTCCGCTTATGTGCCTTAAGAACTTGAGAGCTACTGTCGTCGTCGACTATCCACTGCAGTCCGCTTGATGAAGCCAAAGAGTATAAACTCACTACGTTTTAGGTTATGCTGTTATTAAAACAAATGAAAATGAAAAAATAAGTATTTTTTTTTCATATTCTTTTTCACTTACATTGTCATTCGATTCTGAGCTATGCTAAAAATTTAATTTCAAGTCTCTAGCTCATCAGGAGAGTAGTTTTTATTCGACTACAAAATTCGATCCGTGCAGACATAGACGAAAGCGAGTTAATTAAAACGTGGTAATTAAAATCTCTCAAAAATTTTACATGTGACGCATCAGCATCATCATAAACTGAGAATATGTACTTCCTAAGTTTATCCATCAGCATATTGTAAAGACATTTTTGAACAAAGTATTTTCTATAAAATTTCTCATTAGTTGATACTGGCAAAAGAATGACTGTACAGGTCGAAACCAAAAAAAAGTAAGAGATTTTGTCATGATTGTCGAAAATGAAGACATGGCTAAAAGAACACGCATCCAAGCCAATAATCTAATTAATAAGAAGAAATGTTTGTCAAATGTCAAAACATTTTAAGAGTTTTGGCGGGAACTTGACCGGCGGCGGTTTGCTGCTCCTGTATAATAGTTTAAATAATAGTTTGAAGTGGAATTTGATATGTAAAAGTGGTGCGATTTTATGTATTAACTGTCTACGCATGTGAACTATTAGTGGAAACAGTGAAACAAGTGCTCTGATGGTGATGGATTCTCAAGATAAGCTGTTTGTTTGCATAGGTGTCTTTAGATACCATCGCCAACTGTCAGCTGTCTACTGGCTCAAGTTGCCGTCAAAAGCTCCCAAGGCATGCACAATGTGACGCATCAACATATTGTGAAACAGTGAAATTCTATATACTCAAAATAAAAAAGACAAGGCTGTATGGCATAGTTCCTTTGCCTGCTCTTTCGAGCGAATAATAAAAACTACAACAACAATCAAAACATTTTATCGAAATCCAACAGCAATTTATTTGCTTCAAATATATCTTAAAAAATGGCAGCAAGACAAGCCATACAAGTTGGTACAAAAAATGTGCGACCGGTGCTTTCTCTTAACGCTGGAGAAGCTAGAGCACGAGTACTAAATCTTTATAAAGCGTGGTACCGTCAAATTCCTTACTTAGGTTTGTAGTGTTATGTCATCATTTTTTCTCTATTTACCACTAACATAATACATAGTATTTAGGTAGTTTTCGCGTTGGAATAAATAACACAAAAACTATAAATTTTATAAGTAATTTTACGTAAGTAATATTCCTTCATTTCAGTGAAAGATTTTGACATACCAAAATCTGAAGAACAATGTCGAGCTAAACTCAAAGAAATGTTTTTGAATAACAAACACGTTACTGATGTGCGGGTTATTGATATGTTAGTTATTAAGGTAAATATATAACTTTATGAGCTATTTTTAATCTTATGTTTAATTTATTTACACTTTGTTAGTTTTTAGGGTACCATAATCAAAGGGTAAGAAAGATCCTTATTAATCCTTCCTTCTTGCTTCTTTATATAGCTAGCAGTGAATCATCATGCCTCAATTTAATAGGTCATCTGGGAACTTACACTGGTTGCACATTTTAAAATTTGTATGCGTAGTAACGACCATGTATGTGTAGATATATGGATGTAAAGAGGGAGAGAGATGTGTGTCAGGCATGAGTGTTTATGTATGTATGTATGTATATAATTACATGGTGCAAACTATCTTTATGGTTTAAGCAAAGTACCATGCAAACAAAGTTGTATTGTATTCTTATATTGAAAATAAATAATTTTAACTTAACTTAAAACTTTAATTGAATATAAAAATTTTGAGATATAAAACATTTTTCATTATAATTTTAGGGTCAAATGGAACTCAAAGAAGCAGTAAACTTGTGGAAACAAAAGGGTCATATTATGGCATATTTCAAACCGACCGCAGAACCAAAACCAAAAGATTTCCTATCAAAGTTTTTCTCTAGCAATGAATAGTATATTTGTTATTATAACAGAAATATGTAATGTATAAATGAATAGAATTTTTAAATAGATGGTTTTGTTATTTATTAAAAATATTATTTCTTCCTTTTAAAAGTCTTCTCCTGAACATAGCCCCCATTTGCTGTAGTTGCTTCGCTTTGCAAGTGGATTGGTAATTGCAATTTTTTATTATAACTTCTAAATGGGAAGATAAAACAATTTTTTAAATATATGAATGTGACTGTAATCTAAATAGAAAGAAAGCATATTTTGTAGCCCCGTGTAAGAGCGGGTAAGAATAGCCGCTACCCCATATCTTCCCGTGGGTGTCGTCAGAGACGACAGAAGAAACTGAGGCATTGAACTGAAAATGGGTAGCTGCATCTTTCTAATAACAGCAAATTACATTAAAAAACTGCGGTTGCCAACTTGCTCGCCAAGCGTGGCAACTATGGCAATATACCCCCTATGACGAGAGTTACAAAAAGACTGCCCTCAGTCCCTGGCGGCCACGCTATTTCTGACTACGATGGCAACTATGATAACGGCGGGGTAGGTGGTGCTAAGAATTTCCGGCGGGGATTCGGTTGCCACCTAAGACGAATCGACATGGCAACATATAACGCTGCGTGCGTTATATGTTGCCATGTCGAGTCGTCTGAGAGTTACTGAAACTAAATACTGACGAGAAAATCCTGGAGCTGGAGGAAGAAATAGACAAGTCGCGCTGGGATATTATAGGATTATCAGAGGTCCGAAAAGAGCGGGAGGACACGTTAATCCTCGAATCCGGCAACTTGTTCTGTCACAGGGGGGGCGACCATCTGTCCCAAGGAGGTGTCGGATTTATCGCCCAAAAGGCTTGTTAACAACGGTTGCGACGAAAATCGCTGAAGGTCATACAGGTTTACGCACCATCCTCGGCACATCCCGATGAGGAGGTGGAGAAAATGTATGAGGATATCTAGGGCTATGTATTCCTCCAAAACCCACTATACGGTGTTAAATTTTTGAGATTTCTCAATCTACTGAGCCGAATTGATTCGAATTCACATGAAATCGATTGCCGTGAACAGCGTTTCGATCAGTCAAACCTTTCAAAAGTTATAAGGAGTTTACATACACATACCTACATACGAAGAGACATCCTCGTCTCTTCGTATGTAGGTATGTAGAGGAATAGTCAGAATAGCTTCCTAGGATCTCAAAACGTGAAGATCTGATGAGAACTCGATTTTCGAATACCGGGGTGAAACTAATAACTTTCCGATTTTTTGGAAGTCATTGCTTTTAGTAGCGTGAAGTTAACAAGCAGTATAGTTACACTGCAGTTATATAGTGGTTGTAGCACGAAAGGGTTGGCTCGACCGGGGAAGGACTACGCCATTCCATCTTAAACCTGAGGGGTGGTTACGCATCTGCATTTTGATTCTTAACTGATGATAAAGGGTTTTGCAACAAGAACTTTGTTTGAACAGAGTTTAGATGAAGATGATTCAAATTTTTATTGTATTACGAAGAGAAAAGTTTGGCAATTATGAATGAAAAATGATATCTGGCAAATGTCCACCACGACCACGCTAACAGATGTCGATTCTTTCATCAAAGTTTTTAATCACTTTTTGGCAAAATGGCGGGTCTATTTCGTTAATCACGTCACGGATTTTGAGTTTTAAGGCCGCGATCGATTTGCTCCGTATAGACTCTGTCCTTAACAAAAAACAATCCAGTGGTGTTAAATCACACGATCTGGCTGGCCATTTAACAGCTGAATTTCGTGAAATTATGCGATCGGGAAATTTGGTTTGCAATAAATTGATCGTTTCGTTGGCTGTGTGACATGTGGCACCATCCTGTTGAAACCACATGTTTGTGATATCGATGTCATCAATAATAGGCCAAAATTGAGATGTTAACATCTCGCGATAGCGTGATGCATTGACCGTTACCGCATTTCCAGCCTCATCTTCGAAAAAAACGGCCCAATCACGCCTCCAGACCACATAGCGCACCATACAGTGACACATTGCGCATGGAAAGGCTTCTCAATAATCGCTTTAGGATTTTCAGAAGCCCAAATGCGGCAATTTTGCTTGTTGACGTACCCTGACAAGTGAAAATGGGCTTTGTCTGAAAAAATGATTTTTTCAGAAAAACCAGCGGGCTGTTCCTGAATGAATTGAGCGAATCTACGGCGATGTGAATGGTCGGTCAGCTTCAATTCCTGCACCAGTTGAACCTTGTAAGGCTTCAAAGCCAAATCCTTACGCAAAATTCGCCATGTGGTGGTTTTGGATAACCCCAATTGTTGAGAACGTCGAGGAATTGACAAATTTGGATCTTCTTCAACACTGTGGCTCACGGCTGCGTTGTTTTCGGTTGAACGACCCGGTCGAACACGCGTTGGTGTTGGCGCATTTTGTACCGAGCCTGTCGATTCAAATTTAGCGACCAAATTCTTAATAGCGGTCTCAGAAGGACGATTATGTTGTCCGAAAATGTCACGAATTTTACGAAACGTAACTTTAACAGAACCACCATTTTCATAGTGGATTTTAATTCTTTTAATGCGATTTTCGAGCGAAATTGAATTCATTGTAGCAATTGCGAAAGCATCTACCTCCTAAGGGTATTAGTGTTCTGTGATCTACCTTCCTTATATATTACTATACTCTTTGGCATCTACTACGAATAGGTCAAAAAACTAAATGTCAAAACTGTCATGTTTTTGGTGTTGCCCCAATTGAAAAACAAAGTTCTTGTTGAAAAACCCGTTAGATGTGGACATCTACGGGCAATATAATCTACTTACCATCAGGTGGACTGTGTGCTCGTTTGTCACCCTTATTTTATAAAAAAGTAGCAAGGTAAAAAACTATATACTAATAACGTATATCGGCAGTAAATTTAATCTAATTATAATTGCCCTGTCGCCTTTTTGTACTTGGTGTGCAAATAAAGCATAAATGAATAAATTATCATCACCGGTATATTTCTAAATGTTAGAAAGACACTGAAGATGATGATGAGCCTACAACCAAATCGATTAATTGTCGATCGATGTCCATAGATGATTGAACAACTTTTTTTGATCAGTATCCGTCGATCAGCTAAAGCTACCACACCAATCGATCGAAATCGATCGGGCGTGGTAGCCCTGGTATATAGTGTATTATCTATGGTGTTAGCACCCTTAAACAGGTTTCCATGTTCTCTGGTTTTGTTCTATACTCCGATCGATAGCCATCGTGAGTCGTGACCCTAGTAGACAAACACTTCGGCATATTAACATTTAAATTCAACCTAGCACCGATGAAATGACAAGACGATAGCTAGTAGCTCTATGTTTTCTTCGGCTTTCTGTGCAATTTCCCGAAAGGTATGGATGTTGTGTGTATGTATATGGTCTATAGTACTAGCTTTTTGGAAACCGACTTGTTTAGGAAGCTAGAAACTGTCAAATCTACGTGCAAGACGATTCATAATGACTTAAAAACAGCATTTAGACGTAAAAGGAAAATCGATTTGTAGTTTTTCAATTAAAATCTTCTATTCTTCTTTGAACAAGTTACCGGATTTGAGGACTACCGTGTCCTCCCCCTCTCTTCGGACTCATTCTACCAGAACATATTGTGTATCTCTTCTTACTCGAGAAATTTCTTGATGCTTTTGTTAAAAGTTACTTGGTTGAGTTGTGTGAAGATTCTTAGTAGGTACACTCTGCCTCGTTAATAACATGGCCGCCGGGGACTAGGGACTAGGGACCGTTTTTGTGTCGTTGCTCATGAGGGAATGTATGACAGTTTCCAAGTTTGGCTTGACGGTTTTAGCAATCATAATTTCCTTTATTATCAATTAGTCATCAGGTGGATGCAGCTGCATATCTTCTGACATATTTGTGCACTTATTACGGGACACCCACAGGATGGTGTACGTGGGTAGTGGATTGTCTTACGCAACAACGTTGCCACGTTCTTTGCTAAAGATATGAAAGGAGGTAAAACAATAAAAAAAAATCTAGTTCCAAAACAGATTTATTTAATTTATGTGTATAAAACGTAGTGATTGTAATATACTCTTTGTATATGAATTAAAAAGATTATAGCAAAGAAAGAGTATATAATCACCACGTTTAATACCAAAATTAGATTATACGTCAAAAATTCGTTTAAGCTGTCATAGTGATTACGTATTTAGTTGTGTTTTTAAGTTTTAATTTAAAGTCAATTTTCGGATAACAATGGCTGCAAAAGAAACCGTGAAAACGATTTGCAGAAATGCGAGACCTGTGATGTCTTCCGATCTCACTGAAGCACGCAGGCGAGCCTTGGGTCTATATAGAGCATTTTATCGGTACATACCTTACATAAGTAAGTAAAAAAGTAAAGGTACAGCATATATGCCCCACTTCTGGGCACTGACCTCCTCTTACGTCTAAAAGAGTCTTAGATCAAGGAATTGTCCGCCGCGCTGCACCCAAGTTTGGTGGACTTCACATATCTTTCAAAAGTATTTATTATAATTTCTCAGACATGCAGGTTTCCTGATGATTCTTTCTTAACCGTCGAGCACATGGTAAATCAATAAGTCCACTGCTGAACATAGGCCTCCACAAGGAATGCCACAAAGCACGGTCCTGAGCCACCTGCATCCATCGACTTTCTGCATGTCTTACCAGGTCGTCACTCTATCTAGTGGGGGAATGCCCTCACTTCGTCCGCCGGTACGAGGCCGCCACTCGAGAACCTTTGTTCCCCATCGGTTGTCGGTTCTTCCAGCTATATGGTCGGTCCACTGCCACTTCAGCTTAATAATCCGTTCGGCTATGTCGGTCACTCTGTTTCTACTGATATCCTCATTTCTAAGTTTATCACGCAGAGAAACTCCGAGCATAGTCCTCTTCATAGCTCGCTGAGCGACTTTGAGCTTCCTCATCCGGCCAGCAGTGAAGGACCACGTCTCAGCTCCATAGTTCATCACTGGCAACACGCACTGGTTGTACAGTCTTGTTTTCATGTTTTGAGGTATACCTGACGAGAAGATGTGTCCGTAATCTCTCGAATGCTGCCCAGCCGAGTTGAATCCGTCGATTGACCTCTCGGTCGAAGTTGGACTTACTTAGTCGGACTATTTGTTCCAGGTAAACATACTCATCAACAACTTCGAGCTTAGTGCTCCCTACAACTACCGGCATATGTGTGACATGGACGTTATACATGATCTTTGTTTTATCCATGTTTATCTTAAGACCATACGTTGGGAGGCACTATTGAGGTCATTGAGCATAGTGCTTAGGTCCTCCAGCGATTCTGCCATAAGGACTATATCGTCGGCAAATCGAAGATGAGTGATGTACTCGCCGTTGATGTTAATACCTATATATAGATAATCTGGTGTGTTTCCTGATTTAATTAAACATAGTAAAGTCATACCTATATTTAAATCCGGTAGTACATTAGACCCCGCCAATTTTGGACCAATTTCTGTACTACCAACATTTAGTAAAATGTTTGAAAAAATTATTTGAGATCAGATGTTAAGTTTCTTTATTATTAATAAATTGCTACATAAAAATCAATTCGGTTTTACAAGGGGTCGTTTGACAACTGACGCTAGAGTTGAGCTTATTAAACATATTTTTTGTGCATGGGAGAATTCAGAAGATGCTTTGGGTATATTTTGTGACCTTTCCCAGGCCTTCGACTGTGTTCACCATGAGACATTAATCAGGAAGCTACAGTACTATGGTGTCAAGAACACAGCGCTTAAACTTATTATTTCATATTTAAGTAATAGAAAGCAGAAGGTTATTGTCAATGGTAAAAGTTCTTCTTGGTCACCTGTACTAATGGGTGTCCCTCAGGGCTCGATTCTCGGCCCATTTCTGTTTCTGGTGTATATTAATGACTTACCTCACCTTGTAGGGGATAGTCATGATATAGTATTATTTGCTGATGATACTTCCTTGATTTTTAAACTTAACGTCAATCATTTAGATGTGACGAAGTGAATAATACTATATCAAAATTAGTGCATTGGTTTAATGTCAATAATCTGCATTTGAACGGAAATAAAACTAATTGTGTTAAATTTACAACAACGAATGTTAAAAATCTGATGACCAATGTGTTTTTAAATGGGGATGAATTGAGCCCTGTTGTATCCACTGTTTTTCTTGGCATCACTCTCGACGCAAAGCTTCAGTGGGGCCCCCAAATATCCAAATTAGCAAGCAGACTAAGTTCTGCAGCCTGTGCTGTAAAAAAGATTAGAGGTCTCACTAGTGTCGAGACAGCTAGATTAGTTTATTTCAGTTATTTCCATAGCATAATGTCTTATGGGATTTTGCTATGGGAAAATGCGGCTGATTCAGAAACTATTTTTGTTTTACAGAAGAGGGCCATTAGAGCTATTTACAATCTAAATCTAAATTACAATCAACCGAAAGAGTCTCTTAGAGATAAATTTAAAGAAAAAAATATATTAACTTTGGCCTCCCAGTATATTTACGAAAATTTAATGTATGTTCACAAAAAACAAAGATAGTTTTAGTAAAAAAAGTGATATACATTCTGTAAACACTAGGAACAAACACAAGCTAGTGATACCAGTTTCTCGACTCCACAGAGTCAGTAATTCATTCTTGGGGCAATGTATACGCTACTTCAACAAGGTCCCGGAAAATGTACAGGTTCTCTCTATTACCAAGTTTAAATGTTTTATTAAGCTGAAACTGTATAAAAAGGGTTATTATAGTATAAATTAATACATGGTTGATAATAACCCCTGGGAATGAAGTGGTCGCTTCCAAGCAGTTTCTAAAATAAATTTTGTAAATAGTTCGTAATTTAAATTTAAATTTACATTGTAAAATTTATTTAAAAAAAAGTCCCGCTGGGTTTCTTGCTGGTTCTTCCCAGGACAGGGTTTTTTTTCGAACCAGTGGTAAAGTAAAAAATGAATTTCAATAAGAATTACACGTGTAATGTATATTGAATAAAAATTATTCTATTCTATTCTATTCTATTCTACCGTATCCTTTCCAGTCCATAAGCTTGAAAACGTCTTCCAATGCAGCGGTGAAGAGTTTCTGAGATATAACGTCACTTATCTTACACATCTCTGTAGTTGGATAGGTTTAGTACTCTGGTTCTGTACTTGGATAGCCATCGTACCCCTACTGTACAAACATTTCAGAACTTCGATATATCTCAAGGGACTGTATGCTACAGTCCCTTCAGATATATCGCACGGCCCAAATTTCAACGGGATCAAAGGCTTTCTCATAGTCCACATACACCAGCCATAGTGGTAAATTGTACTCCTCGGACTTCTGTACAATTTGTCGAAGGGTATGTATGTATTTGGTCTATGGTGCTAAAGCCTTTTCGGAAACTGGCTTGTTCGGGAGGTTGGAAGTCCCGGAAACGACGCTGCCACACTCGGTCTTCAGCTTCGACAGTTGGCTCTTTCTGGCAGACAGATCTCTAGCAAAGACTTTGGAGCCCTGGTTCCGATCGATCACTTGTTGTTACGAGCAGTATTAAACTTGCGTAAATCCCGCCGTATGCATTTAGAAATCTATCTGTTCAGTTGCCTGTATGCTGTAAAATCTATTGAAGACTGCAGCTTCATTTCTCGTCTAACAGTCACGAGATTAAGAGTGTGATCGGAGAGTTCTTGTGTTCTTCTGCGGCGGGTCTTGCATAACTTAACTCCGACCGCATGGACAGTTTCCACAAGTTTATCATTCATATCGTCCACTGCATTGCAATCTTTTAGGGACTGAAAACGGTTTTGTAGCTCGAGCTAAAAGGTTTCAGGACTTTGGATTAGAGCACGAGTGGGACGGAGCGTTGACCTTCATTAGACGTGACCTCTCCAAATTGACGTTTAGGTTCAGTGTGCCTCTAACTATTCGGTGATCGCTGCCGGCTTTCACCCTTGCGACCACTGAGACATCACTGAACAGTTGTCCTCTGGTTGTCATAATAAAGTCAATCTAATTTTTTGTCGAACCGTCGGGGCTCGGCCAGGTCCACTTCCTGTGGGGCCGCTTTTGGAAGAAAGAGTTCATCATAAAGTGTCCCTCTTTCTTCATGAAGTCGGCCAGCTGCTGGCCCTTTGGGTTCCGATGCCCTAATCCACATTACCCCACCTTCAGCTCACCGTTCTCTCTTGTGCCTAGTTTTGCGTTGAAGTCTCCACTTAACACCGTATAGTGAGTTTTGGAGGAATGCATGGCTCTAGATATATCCTCATACATTTCCTCCACTTCCTCATCGGGATGTGCCGAGGTTGGTGCGTAAACCTGTATGACCTTCAGCGAATACCGTTTGTTGATTCTGAGTATAACGTACGCACCCCTCGTCGACACACTCTCAATCTTTACAACGTTATTAACGAGAGACTTGTGGACGATAAATCTGACACCTCGTTGGGACTGATGGTCGCCCTCCCAGTGATAGAACAAGTTGCCGGATTCAAGGATTACCATGTCCCCCTCTCTTCGGACCTCAGATAATCGTATAATATTCCAGCGCAAGTTGTTTATCTCTTCTTCCAGCTCCAGGATCTTCTCGTCAGTTCTCAGGGTGCGTGCGTTGTATGTTGCCAGGTCGAGTCGTCGTAGGTGGCAATCGAACTTCCACCGGAGATTCTTAGCACCCCCTGCCCCGCCGTTACCATGGTCACCAACCGTAGCCAGGAATAGCGGGTCCGCCGGGGACTGGGGGCCGTCTCTTTGTAACTTTATCCATTTGGGGGGTATTTGCCATAGTTGCCACGCTTGGCGAGCGGGTTGGCATCCGCAGTTTTTCTTTGTTGTTTTGCTGTTATCAGAAAGATGCTACTGCCCATCTTATGCCTCAGTTTCCCTCTGTCGCCTCTTACCACATCCACGGGAAGATATGGGGTAGTGGGTATTATATCCCGCCACTTCACGGGATGCCCGTCACTACACGGGATAAACTTAAAATTGCAATTTACAAATTCATTGGTGCCGTTGGGGAACGAGGTTTAGCCCCTCAGTGCCCTGAGCTCAAAGGCTATGTAAGTACCTATGTCAAAATATTGGTGGTGATATTGATATCTTTCACGAATTTTTACAATAATAAACAAAACTAGTTGCAGACAAATTTTAACTTAGCTTAGCTATGTATTAGGTTTATAGTCATACGTTGTTGTAGTATTTTTTTTATAGAATTACGATGACAAACGAGCACACAGTGCACCTGATGGTAAGTAGTTGCTGTGGCCCTCTACATCTATCCTCGATTACTAATCAAAATGCAGATGCGTTGTCACCCGTGAGAACTAAGATAGAATGCCTCGTTTCCAGTAAAAAGGGTCTCCGGTTCTCTACACTCACCATACGAAACACAGCAGCATTAAGCTGCTAATTTACGCTGGTATTCTGTGAGAGCGTGGTCCTTCCCCGGTCGAGCCGACCCATTCCTACTAGATCTATACTATTAATATAGCTGGAGCATCGCTCTACCACGTAACAAAACGTAGTAACTTGTAATTGTTATCGTTAAGAAAGTTAGTAATTTTATACTCATTTTTTTGCTTGAATAACATATAGAAGCTAAATGTTTATTTGGATTATTTTTTGTATTCATATTTGTATGAAACTGTTGGTTTCTTAAATATATAATAAATAATCCACCTTTTATCCAGGTTACATAGAGACATTTGGTTTCTCTAAAAACGCGCCCACAGACATCAGAAATATAAATCCGTGGGCGCGCGCTTCAGCCCACTATATGTCTTTTACGCATTTATTTTTTGCTGTATCTGTCTTGTACTAGTTTCGTGAACCAGAATGTAACGATTATTTAAGTACACAGTTTTATGAAACAGACGCAAGGACTGGTGTGACATATTATAATAATTTCATTGAACAGATTAATGGTAAAATCTTTTGTACTTACCTACTTACGTGGCACGTTTCGTCTAGTTCGTAGCTCTACTCTGCCATGTCACGGTTTAAAGACTTCTTTAAACTGTGGTTATGTGTGTAACTTCATACAAAAAGTAACAATTTTTTTATTAAAATCAATTTTTCCAGTCAGCTTTAAGCCTGAATAAAGTAGTTGTATCTCGCCAGCAACTCATTTGGAAATTCTATTCATCTATGAAAATGTAAATGCAATTTTGATTCTATTCTGATTTTCAGAAGAGCTGATTTTTGCTTTTGCTTTGTTCTGAATAACGACTTTATTTTTATCAAGGGCGCCTTGTCATTGCCTATACTTGCAGCACTTAGTTCCTTGCTATTAATATTTATCTTATATCTATTATCGTCATTTTCACAAGTTTTAAGCTTGTCACTTAATTAGCACCTAAAAAGCCCCTAATTTTGGCTTTTTCCAAATGCCAATTCCTTTGCGTTGCTGGCGAGGGTCACAATGACAATTTCGTACAGAGAACATTAAAAAGTAATATAATAAAGTAAATATCGCTCTATACAGAAAGAACTAGTTACAAAAATAAGCAGTTTCGATACTAGTTACGCGTATACAAGAAACTACATATAACCGATTACGATATCTATCAAAATATTCTTTCGCAGTGATTAACAGTCATCCGTTATAATAATGTAGTATTTATTTGTATGGATGCCTCAAAACCTTTTTTTATAGAATAAGGGTGACAAACAAGCGCATATTCCACCTGATTCTAAGTGGACAGAGACACCTACATATATTCTTGATTATGAATCAAAATATAGGTGTGTAGAATGCCTGTGTACCAGGAAAAAGGGTCTCGGATTATCTACACTCACCGTACGAAATACAGCAGCACTAAGCTGCTATTTTATGCTAGGCGGTGAGGACGTGGTCCTTCCACAATCGAGCCGACCCATTGCTGTTGCAACCATAATATTATAGCTGAAGAGTGGCTCTGCCATGTTTTGTTGGTTTTTCCTTTTTATAATCACATATAGGTAAAAAAATAATCCCAATTGCGTTTTCCAATGTTATTACAAATTACAAGCATCAAACCGGGATACATCTCTAGTTGTATATAAAAAATAAAACTTTTTATTTTTTACTTTTTAAAATTACTTTTACTTTTAAATTAACTTCTGCAACATATAGTATATTTCTGAGTTATCGAAACCTTCTGTTTGGAGGATAACGTCGTAAGTACACGTTATACTCATTGCTAGCATAGATAGCTGACAAGCGCGTCGTTATTTAACGCTGGTGCCAAGTGAAAGCGTGGTTAAATGTTTATATATTTATTTACTTATTTATCTATTTATATGCAATACAACAAGAGATCCCACTTCTGATCTCGGAAATGTATTGGGAAAGGTTAATTGTTAAAAATAGTAAAATTGCGAGAGCGGATGCTCAAATTGCTCTCCTGCTTACGCAATTTATCATATAATAAGACAGCGTAACGCACTATAATGACATTAAGTACCTATAGTCAAGCTATAGCTGCTCTGCTCTACCTACAGTTCGACCACAACGTAACACGTCCCCGCTACAATCACACACCAGAGTAACGTGAGGGTCTCAACTACATGATAATACCAAAGTATGTAAACCAACAGCAACATCACACATCCCAGTGCAACACAGAGCGGCCTCTCAGCAACACCATCTTCCTCGCCTCACCATAACGGACAGAACCACAATACTGTCTTAGCACTACTATTACGTAGAATGACTTAGGCGCAATTTCCCACCCACGGCGCCCTACAGTGAACTTTATACTGCACTCTAAACGATTTCTCGATATACCCTCAATTCAGCCTCGCCACCATTGATATGACACTCCGCTAGTGATGCAACCTCTCACTCACTCTCGAGCCATCCGGTATTTTATAGACGCACCATATTTATATATTATATTATATTTACACATATTTATCCTTTATTGTGTGGATGTGTTGAACTTTTATTAAAATAATCCCGAAATTATTTTCAGTAAAATATTTTGACATACCCAAAAACGAGCAGGATTGCCGCTGTAAATTGAGAGAATACTTTTACAAACATGCCTGTGTCACAGATGTGAGAGTTATTGATATATTAGTGATTAAGGTAAGATTTTTTCTGTTCATGTAGGTAACTAGAAAAAGCACAATAATGTCGGAGAATCAGTGGAGCCATCTATGTTCACACGGCGGCAACACTGGTTCCCGCCCAATAAACAACCACCGAACGCAAGCGTGAAGTCATACCGAGTCATGCTTGGATACGGCTGACGTGGGTGCAAGGGTATTCTCAATTTCTCATAGATACCAAAGAGGCAATCATTCTATCGCCAGTGCTCGCACAAAGCGGACGTGTCTGTTCGATTGAGATTGTTTAGTTACTTTGGTTACCAAGATAAATCTAGACTAGATTATTGTTGTGATTGTTAATTTGCTTGAGGCTATTCAGCATGACGGATCCCGATGAAGATAGGCGCCATTAGGCCCAGAAAAACCCCCTTGGCCGAAATACATATTACAATTTATTATATCTTTAAACCGCGTAGGTTTTCTCGTGCTATTATACGAGTAATTTTACTACCTATAATATAGCGCTATTAGTTTTATTTTTCAATCGACTTCAAAAAGTAGGAGGTACTCAATTCGACTGAATGTTTTTTTTAATGTGTGTTACCCCATAACTTTATTCTCGGTGCACAGATTACAATGATTATTTTTAGGGTTCCGTAGTTACATAACAAGGAACCGTTATAGTTTCGCCATGTCCACCCGTCCGTCTGTCCGTTCGCGGTTTTGCACAGAGACCCTAGGTGCTATAAATCTGTAATTTGCCACAGTTATAGACATTAATTACGCCTTCTAGGCACACACTGTGAAATAAAATATTAAAAAAAAAACATTTTAATTTTGGGTACTTCCCATACAAGTAAATGGAGGATGATTTTTTTACCCGTCTATTCCATCATGTGGGATCTGGTTAGTTAGTTCTTTCAAAAACACTGGGGATGAGGAACAACATCTTTTGAATTCAGGCGTCCGTTTGCAAAATTTTTAGCCTTAAAGTGGTATTTTTCGTTAGTCATGTGTCTCTCTCTTCTACCACAAAATAAATAATAGCCTCTACCAACAAAACCGCTGTTTTTGGAAATGTGTAAAGTATACACGATAGTAGTATATAGTCTGAGAGCTGGCGACGAATTTGGGGAAGGTCCTTTGGGCAAGTTGAAATTGTGAAAAAATATAATTTCGTCAATTGGCGAATACAGTCCCGGGAGTCTGGCAGAGCGTTTGCGGTTATTTCGTTATTGCGCAGCATATAACATTTGCAAAAAAAATTTAAAAAAATGCAAAAAAGATACAAAAAAATGTTTTTTTGGCAACTTGATTTCTTTTTAGGGTGCCGTACCTCAAAATGAAAAAAACAGAACCCTTATAGGATCACTTTGTTGTCCGTCTGTCTGTCTGTCAAGACCCTTTTTCTCAGGAACACGTGGAGGTATCAAGCTGAAATTCGTATCAAATACTCAAGTCTACTGTCCCTTCGAGCTGTGAAAAATTCAAACTTCTAAGCTAACACAATTAAAAGATACAGCCGTTTATGCCGCAAATTTTCGACATTCGCAAGGGAATCAAAACCTACAGGGGTTCTTCCCGTGAACTCAGAATCTTAAAATTTGGTACGAAGCAACGTATTATAGCACAGATAAAGGGAAAATTGCGAAAAGCATAAATTTTAAGTTACATCATGTAATAAAAATATTTTTAATAATTTTAAACTTATACATACATACATACATATAATCACGCCTCTTTCCCGTAGGGGTAGGCAGAGACCACTTCTTCACACTTGCTACGATCCTTATATACCTACGTTAAACTTATATACCTACGGATTTGTTCGGAACCCTCGGTGCGCGAGTCCGACTCGCACTTGTCCGGTTTTTTCTTTGTTAATTTGGTTTTTATACGGTGCGTACACATTATATAACATAATATGTTATAGAACGTTGTTATATAACATGTTTCAGTAATGATGCCGCTGAATGTTATAAAACGTGTAATATAACGTGACACAAATGTTTTATAACCCGAACGGCAGAACGACAAACGACAATGTCATACGACAATGTCATATAACATTGTTATATCGCATTGTTATTCTAATGTGTACAGTATTGTTATATGTTGCAATGTTGAAAAACAATGTTACATAATGTAGACGTGTTATAAAACAAAAGTTATACAACATGTTACTTAATCTGTACGCACCCATATAATTCCAAAAAAGTAATCACAGACGCTTTTGTCGGTTATAAGGTATTACCAGGTAGACCTCTTCAAAAAATATTTTTTTAAATTCCCAAAGAATACTTACTTTTGGCAATCACGTATTTATTGAATAGTTTTTAATAATACCTGCAAATCGCCAGAAGAATTTAGCGGTTTTAAGCAATTCCCAGACGTGAATAAAGTTTACAAATGAATACGACAAAAAAGTCTTATGCGTAGCCATAAGTGCGAGAAAGATAGCTTATCGAAGCATGCCGACAGCGGATGGGGGCCTAAGCTCCCCGCGCAAAAGCCAATTCTTCTAATAAGGGCTTTGAAGACTCCCAGATTATGTTATTATTTTTGTGTGAAAAACGATCTCGAAATACACATAAAATATCTTGGTATAACGAAGATCACGGGCCTAAGCCAATTGAGCTTCATATTAGCTTTTTATATTAAATATTTGTTTTGACAACCCCTAAAAGTTTTCAATGACTAAATAGTCAATTCAATTCTGAAATTTGTTGATATCTAAGGCAAGTAGCACAGGCACAGTCTGTGTGTTGATAAGCAACCACTTTGATCCATAGAATTTAATGTACCTTCGTTAAAAATTGAAGGTGCGTTGCGGATTTTATTTATTGCATTAAAGTGTTTAATTTTCATTCTGGTAGGGTTATATGGAGCTTAAAGAAGTCACTCATCTATGGCAACAAAAAGGTCACGTAATGTCTCATTGGAATCCAAGCGCCGAGCCTAAGCCCTGCGACTTCCTCGGCAAATTTTTAGCGGGCATGGATTAAATGTGATTGAAAATGAAGAAAATAAATAACGTATTCATTGTTTATTGATCACCCTTAATTCACATCACATACCTTTTAAAGGCTAATATTGTTCAATAAAAAAAAAATACAAATGTTGAAATATTTTTGTACTTTTAACTGTTTTAATTAGATTATAAACAAATTATCTTTGGGAAATCTAAATGTAATTTTTAAATTATAAATATTATTTAAAATGTATAAAATTCTGATGATCTTTGATTTTCGGCCGAAAACAAGTCCTTCAAAATTAAAGGAACGTGGAAAGCAATATGGAAATATTATTTACTAGCTGTGCCCGCGGCGTAGCTCGCGTATACAGGTTTTACATAAAGAATTTGTCGTTTAGGTAAGAGAATATTAAACGATTTATTTCATTACTGTATCAATAAGTGGTAACTAAATAAATCATTATCATCAAAGTTCTAAGTCGTTTATGATAGAGCTTCTGTGTAAACGAAGTTAGAAGTAGGCTTATCCCGGGTGTACACAAAAAGGTTACGGGGGCTACTAACGCGGGAAAAAGCAACATAGAGTTGGCCATGTGCAAAACAGTCAGTACTGAGGTACACTCCTACAACGTGTAAAGTTTGACCTTGCGCTTTATTTACGGTCATCGCATAACACACGCTCACTGTAACTGGGAACTGAACGCGCTTAAAACTGAAAGGAAAGTTAATTCTTAATAGAGGGTTTTTGGGCAGTGCTGCCAGATAAAAAAAAAACTCATTCAGCTCTAGGACAACATAAAAAGCGCTAGATTTCATGAAAACAGCGCTTTAAAAAAGCCCTAGATTTCGCACTAAATTAACTACAAACAAAGTTTGTGTTTTTTTATATAATCATAATAAAGAAAACAACATTAAGTTTTTTTTCTGGCAATATTTTTTTGATGTATCAATACTTCGCAGGACATCGACTTATAATTATGGCAATTGCTGTCAACAGTAGTTAGTACTGTACGAACAATAAAAATGTCATTAATTGTTTAAAAGTGCAATGTGTTTCGCAACTTAGTTTCAGATGTCAGCATCTGATTGCGGTTGCTGCACAGTTTCTTTGTGTTATAACTTCTAAGTAACTTTTAACTTAGCTGTGCTCTAAGCAACTGACTGAAACTGAATAAAGCAAAATAAATGCGTTGCCAAAACCATGAACGAAAACTTTAATAAAGGGGATTTCCCCGCTTATAGTCGTCGGTAAAAAAATCAAGTTGATCATCCTAAAGGGGAAGCCAGGAGATCCATAGCACAGGGTATCCTAGTTTGGACTCGTCTCCCATGCTCTTTGTTTTGTGGAAAAAATATGTTTGAAAAAGATAAACTGCAATGTACTATTTGTGGGAAAAAATAATAATGGTCATTATTATTATTATCGGTAATGTGGACTAACAGTGCTGCTATAAAATAGTTAATAACCCGCTAGTCGCTAAAATATTGAAATATGTGCTAAATACACCAAAAAAGCGAGGTGCTAAAATTTCGAAATGCGCGCTATACATTTCAAAAAAGCGCTAAATCTAGTTCCCAAAGCGCTAAAATGGCAGTACCGATTTTGCGTATATTATAAATACAATATCACGACATTTCGTTGCAAAATTTTTAATTTTGGTCGGGTTCCGTTGTATGGCTTCGATGGATACAAATTTCTTCAGTAAGTCTCAATACGATTCGGCGAAAAATCTCTACACAGCAATTCAGAAAAGTTTGTAATTTGTACAACTCCATCTATTACGTCCTTTGTGAGAAAACATCCTTTTTAAATCTCTTTTTGTGTTTTAATTATAAATATATTAATTATATTATGGAACGTTTTTTTACACACAAATCTTTTTATTACTATTTCTGAGATTTTATGGCGCCATTGAACAAATTCGAACCTACATTTCAAAATAATAATCATTACTTTCGATAGAATTAACCAATTTTAATAAAACAAAGATTAAATGTAACTCGAAGATACGCTTTATGATTTTCTTAACGATTTCTTTGAAAATAAAAGATGTTTACTTTAGACGTGATGCGTTCATATAATAACAGACAAATAGACAGACAGACAATTCTAAAAATTATAAAATGTTCTTATTTAATTATTTTCAGTTCCCCATAATGATTTTAGCCACCAAAATATATATACAATGTACAGAAAGAGACACAACATGTTATCATTTTTATTATATGTATATATTTAAAGAGAGATGGCGCTGCTAACATCAATTATAAAAATAAAAGAGATTAATTGACGCGATTGATACATTATATAAAACGCAAGAGAACTTATAAATCAGTGCCTGCACAGTAAGCAAAAAAAAAAGTTTTACTCTCGCCAAAACCAACGCAATTGTTAATAGCTCTTTTAAAATTTGATTTACCACATAGAGTACTCGGCGGTAAAGAATAAATTGAGTTTGTGAACACGCAGTAGGGCAGCGAGTAATATAATAAAGATTAGCAGTAAATATGAAAACTCATTTACAGGAAAAAACCACATTGCAAAATGTAATGTTTCACAACAGCACCATCTATCGAAGAAATGGGTTAACTATTGTGCTTCAGATTTAGTTAATAAGGTTAATATATTTTTGTATAATATATTTAATACGTTCTTTAATACTTTTGTTTACTGCGTTTTAGATATATATATATATATATATATATATAATTATATCATTATTTTACATAATTTAACTATGATTTATGATATGATATTAGTTTAAAATGCACTTGATGACTCAAACAAAACCACCGTTGAGCAAATTCGTACCTATACTTCCCTACCCATACTTCAGAATATTTATCATAACTTTTGATGGAATGAACAGATTTTAATGAAATAAAGACTAAATGTAACACGAAGATACACTTTATAATTTCCTTAACAATTCTTATGATATAAATTAGTACTTTATACGTGATACGTTAACAAACAAACAGACAGACAGACAGACAGACAGACAGACAGAAAATTCTAAAAATGGTAGAAATGTATTTAATTACTTATTTTTAGTACCCCTCAATCACTTTTATTACAAAAATATAAAATGTACAGACATCTGCTATTTACAGTTTTATTATATGTATAGATTACTTTTGATATAAGTTATCGTTCACAACCATAAAATTATTATTATATTTTATGATATACTACAGTATAGATAGGTACGTATCTAATATACATTATATTATGTAAGTACAAATTTAGTTTTATAAGATTATTCTAAAATAATAATAGACAAGTAATAATACATCGTTATTTGTTGTTATTCTTTGGTATTGAAAACAAGTATATGTGTACTCTTCAAAACATTATTTATTCTGATATAGCGAAGCATGAAAAATAATCTTTTAAGGTTTGAATACTTAGGTACCTAAATGTATTAAAAGCAAATTCTTTTTGACCGGGCCATGTCTCTGAGACATAGAAAATTATGATAATTTCATAAAATACTGTCATCATCATCATTACAGCCTTTCACAAGTCCTGCTGAACATAATATTTAGACTAAATTATTTCAAGACTGGTACTGACCGAGTGCGTTCGCTCGTAATGTATTACTTAGGTTGTTTTCGAGCATTACTAAAGGAGAACGTCAAGCCACACAGTGAGTAATACTTGTAGTAGCGACGCGATATCAATAAGATATGCCTGAATGCATCAAAAAAGTGTTCGCTGATCAGCATAAATCAAGGGCATACATAACAAGCTCGATCAGTCACTATCACAAAAGCAAATCTTCCTCCAATTAATACCTTGAGTTAGTACAGCATTTTAATGTGATGTTAATATTCGTATTCCAAACAATATATTGAATTCTCGGGGTTAGTACACATATTTCTTTTGCAAATGAAAATTTTGAAGCCAGAGCTTACTCTCTGAAACTGTTGTAACTAAATACATATAGATAACCAAATAGTTTACAAAACTATATCAAAACTATATTCTATATTAATGTTATACACTGAAAGTTTAAAAGGTTCGTAGGCTTTCGTTTTTAATATATATCTAATATAAAACCTACATGGATCATTTACAGCTAAGTACATAAATACATAAAAATGTTCACTTTAAAATATAAACAGATATCTAAGGCCATCTCAGACACATAGCTTCTTTGTTTTCTTTTAAAACATAATAATACGACGCAATCACAGGTATCCAAGACATTCACATAGGTAGCAATATTTGCTATTAAATAAATTTATCATTATATCTAATGAGGTCTTTCTTGTTCAATGAGGTACAGTTTATAACAGCATCTTGACGAACTCTGCAACAAAGAAACATTATGGAGTCTTTGAAGTTAAATTTAAATTCTTTTAATAAGTAAATTAGAAACGATCAATTTGAAATAATTAAAAATAATATGTAAAAAAAGATTTAGACAACAGAGCAGCATATTTCGCTAGAAGTATCTTACACTATCGCACGCCTCTATCTTACCTTCGTAATCGATGCGTCCGTCGTGGTCTATGTCGCCCAGCGCCAGCACCTGGTTGAGCTGCGCGTCGGTCACTGGCTCACCGATCATCTCCAGGGCCGAACGCAACTCGTCACGCGTTATGTAGCCGTTGTCATCCCGGTCGAACACTCTAGTGGCGAAACAAAAGTAAATTAAGCCACGCCGGAAAAATAGAGATGACTGACTGATGATAAGATGACACTGGTCTCTTTCTCTGGAGACTGGAATCTGTCCTTTTTCAAATTTTTATACAAGTAGTACCTACATTAGAGAAGGGTTCGCCGCGCTTTTATTAGTGCGGACTGACGAACGGGTAATGCGACCATGCAACTAACGGAATCTCGCTCAAATCTCATAGGCCTTCGGTTAGTAAACAGTTAGGTAAATACGATATAGTCGCCATGCTTTTTAAGCGAATATGCGATCATATCACCTGCTACTTCTAACTCTCGTTGTAGCTTCATTTAGAACCTTGAAGTTTTTTTAAAGAAGAAGGTCATGGATAAACACTATTTCTATACCT